TTGGTGTCCCGATCCCTCTTCTGGATTACATGAGATGACCGGCTCAGCTACCTCTGTAGAGTTGCCAGGTATCTTAGCTGGGGTCATCCCTGTAGATTCCTGGGAGTTTCACTTGCACCAGGTTTATATCTGGCCCCAAAGAGCCCCCCTTTTCCAGTCAGCTCTTTCAGTGCTTCCCCCAACCTCTACTGCGAGCCTCTCCTCTCCTTCCCGCCCCTCCCCCACCTCCCCTCTGTTCCTCTCTCCATTCCTCCTCCTCGGTTTCTTCTCTTCAGAAAAGTGCAGGCCTCCCATGGATGTCAACCTGCCATGGAGTATTAGGTTGCAGCAAGACTAGGCACTGTCTCTCCTGTTAAGGCTGGATGAGGCAACCTGGTAAGAGAAAATGATCCCCAAAGCAGGCAACAGAGTCAGAGACAGCCCCCCCCCCCCGTTCCCACTGTTAGAAGTTCCACAAGAAGACCAAACTACACAACTGTAACATATCTGCAGGGGGCCTAGACAGTCCCATGCAGACTCCTTGATTGTTGACTCAGTCTCTGTACTCATCAATTCTTAATATTTTGCTGTTTATATATTTCTCTCTCTATCTAAACACAGAAAACCGCATGTACAGTCTCTCCATTCCTGTCTTTTGCTCTGTGGCCCCCTCTTCTCACATGTGAAGATACTTGTGTGTAAACAGACGTACATAGACAATTTTCTTTTTGAGCCATTTAAAAGTTGTGTTATAGATGTAACACAACCTTAAATAATCCAGATGTGTACTTAAAAATATGATGTCCACTCCCTGCACTGCATCGCCATCACCACACCTCGGAAAGTGAACACCCAATCTGTAGTTTATTCAATAGTCTGCCATATTTAACTACACAGCCTTATTTACCTTTCCTTCTGGAATCTAGCGTCCAGTTAAGGCTCATATATTTAGTCATTATACATCTTTAATTACCAGGTGTTTTTGTAACGATGACTTTTTTCAGGTCCCTAGGAAAGCTCCCCGAAAGATTTCTAAATGGAACCATTAGCTGTGTGCAAGTGAGAACCATTTGATAGTCGCTGTAGTAAATCTGTGTCTCCCACTTCTCCTGTAGGATTGAGACGCTGTTAAATGGTTTAGCTCTGTTTTTGAGCTACAGAGATGAGGGCTTTGCTTGAAATTTTAAATGCGGAGCCATCTCAGCGTGGCGAGAAGGCAGATGAGAAAGTACGGGATGCGTCCTTTGTAATTAAGAACACGGTTGTTCTTGCCTGCTCCGGTGGCCGGCCTCTGTTAGCTCTTGGCTCAGTGGCTCTTCCTTCTGGCGTTGCCTCTGCCTAGGGTTTGGCTCTTCTCCAGCATCATTAGGTTACAGCAAGAGAGTTGGGAACAGACCTGCACTTATTTAAATCTTCCAGCCCAAATTGTCCCCGCTGGCTGCCATACAGAGCTTGTATGTTTGTAGGCTGTGTGCTGAATGCTGCGCTGTGTTCCAGGGTGCCCGTGTGCATCTGGGGCTGTGCATAGGAAGAACACCTCCTTGTTTGTACTCACGATCCGGGGTACCATAGTCCTAGGGGACTGCATTTTGCGCTCGCTGGTGATTCCTAGAGAGCACCCGCTCACTTCCTCACTTTCCCGAGAGGCACTCACTTCAGTCCAAAAGACACTCAGATGCCCACTGAAGCCCACCTGGCATCTGAACAGGGGCACTGCCTTGTTTGGGGTTGCTTTCCTCAGTAAAGGGTATGTTTACTCCTCTGAGATATGGGCCTGCAAAGCAGGGTCCTTATTTTAAGCATGGCAGCTTCAGAACCAGTGGTGTCTTTGAGAAATTTCAAAGCCAAAAAGAAAGGGAGTCAGTGGGTAGGGGCGGGAGGAGGCGAAGAGAGGGATGACAGGAGGGGGAGGGAGGAAGGATGGAAGAGAGAACGCACTTGTGTTCTGGTGGGAGGCAAACAGGAAAGCGAAAAACTGAGAGGTGGATGGAGGCATAGAGGGAAAGAGGGAGAGGCCGAGAGAAGGAGGAGGGCGGTAATTTCAGGATGGATGAATAAGCAGAAACTGCTAGAAACTGGAGAGGTGGGAGCGTGAACTGCTGCTCTGGGGGCTTAGCGTTTTTTACCTCCGGAGAATCCCCGGTCCATCTTTGTGATGAGTTAGCTGGGATGCAGGCTTCGCTGGTTGGTTCAGCATGATGTATAAGTGCTCTGTGTCTCAGCTGCCCCTGACTCCTGCCGCCTCTTTTCTGCATCTGTAAGACCCGCTGTGATCAGTCCTACCCTCTGTGGCCCCGTTGCCCTCTGGTACTGACCTCGAATTCCATGCTTGGATTCTTCAGATAGACCACACTGTTTTGCACCCTGCGTTTTTTGTGGAGTGTAACCCTGGAACTTTTGCATAATTGTTCAGACTGCAGAGCCCTCATCTCTCAGTTGAGGATAAAGTGTACAGGGATTAACAGAGTTAATATAATAAATGCAGCCCTTGGAAGGATGTTGGTCACATGACATGGGCCATGGAAATGAACTTTCTACTGTTGCTCTTTAGAGCCCACGCGTGTTAATTTTTTATTGCCACATTAACAGTTACTATAAACTGGCATCCCAGAGCAATACCAATTTATTACCTCACATTGTCTATAGATTAGATGTCTGGATAGGGTGAGCCAGGGCTCTTTGCTCAGAATATCCCAGGGCTGAAATCAAGATGACTGCAAGGCTGAGACCCGGAGCATCTCCCAAGCCTGTCCCAAGTTCACGGCAGTTAACTGAATTCAAGCCTTTGCAGCCGTGGAGTTCAGGGCCAGCAAGAACTCTTATATCACCTTCTGTTTTAAAGCGCCCTAATCACCTCAGTGCCAATCAGATAATCTTCCTCTCAGTTAACTTTGAGGCAGTTGTTATGGCCATAACCTGATCACAGTCATGGGTTTTACTTGTTCTCAAGGGGAGATTGTGTGTGTCCGTCTGGAGGCAGGACTCTTGTGGGCCTGAGAGTCCAGCCTACACCCCGGGTAATCAAAAATCCGATCTTCGCTGATCCCTTTGAACTATCTGGGATGAACTGGGTAATGACCACCCTGAGTTGAGTTGTTCACACACAGCAGATTCTGTCAGCACTCAGAGGGTTTCTTATTGATGTGGCTCCTGGAACTGATACTCCTTGTCCTGTAAGGTTTTACAAGTTGATGGAGCCGAACGTGCCTTTTGAAGTCTCTTGAGAAGAGGACAATTAGAGATTCGTAGCAGTAAATCTGCTGGCCAGTTAGTTGTCCCGGGGTCTTCAGAGGGTCACCCACAACTTGCATTCCCTTTCAGAGCCATTCACTTACTGCTCAGGCCTCTCATAGATGCGCAGCCCAGCTGGAGCCTCCTTCGCTGAGAGTGTAACTGTCGGGCAGTCCTGTTCCTCTGCTGGTGCACAGTAAACCTGTGCCTGACAGGGAATGGCGAGGGTCTTTGCATTGTTTTCACAAGTTTTTCTTGCTCTCAGTTTCCTTCACAATCGAGTCTAGATTTCTTTTTTAAATTATTATTATTATTTTTTTTTAGCAAAGTAGTGGGGTTCCTCATGACATCTTCAGTATAGCATTGTGTCTTGGGCTCTGCTCTTCTCCCACACCCCCTCGTATTTATTTGCCATTTCTTTCTTTTCCCACACACTCAGAGAGGGCAATGGAGTCAATGTGACATGAAATATGGGACTAGGTTGCTTTTATCTTTTAATTCATCTTACATTCCATTAAAAAATATATTTTTAGCCAAAGCCCATAATGAATGTATGGAGAGTATAAAAATTCAAAAATGATATATTTAAGTCAGTTAATACGAAAAACAAAGATGAGAACACCTTAGGCAACAAAATCTTTTATTATCTTCAAATTATTTATTATTACAATGTCCTATTTTATGTGCGTGCTGTATGTTTGGGTGCACACGTATGCATGCAGTTGGAAGTTCAGATGTGTACACATGATTGTGGAGGCCAGAGGTCAGTGTTATGCATCTTCCTCTATCAATGTTTATTAGTTACTTTTCTATTGTTATAAAAGGCCATGGCCAACAAAACATATAAAAGAAAATGTTACTTTGGGCTTATGGTTTCTGAAGGTTAGAGTCCATGAGGGCAGTGCAGAGACAAGGCAGCAGGGACAAGTGAGAGCTCACATCTTGACCGTAATCAGGAGGCAGAGAAAGCGCACTGGGAATGATGGGAGTCTTTAGAGCCTCACAGCCCAGCCCCAGTGACACACTGCTTGCAACAAGGCCACACCTCCTACTCCTTCTCAAACACTTCCACTACTGGGGACCAACCTTGCAAATATATGAGCCTATGGGACCGTTCTCATTCAAACCAATACAGCTGTCCTCCTCCTCCCTCTCCTCTTTCTCATCCTCTTCCTCCTCCTCCTCCTCCTCCTCCTCCTCATCATCATCATCATCATCATCATCATCATTATTATTGGAGACAAGATCTCTCTTGAACCTGGAGCTCACCAGTAAGCACTCGGATTTCAGGCATATGCTATCATGACTGGTTTTTTCCTTGGGCACTGGGGATCTGAACTGAGGTCCTCATGCTTGCACAGCAAACACCCAACAGCTAAACCATTACCCCTGCTCTAATTCTATTTTTAAAGCATCTATTGATACCAAGTTCTAAGCAATAAGGCATGGGGAAATGATTTAGGAGCAATGGAAAATACCTGACTGTCTTGAGTACTGTTTCTTAAAAGAAAATGGTAAATTCTCTTTGTAGCAGCATTTGACTTGCAGTTGTTTACAAATGTATCATGCTAAAGGAAAAAAAATTTGGCATGGCTAGGACTTTGGAAATCTGAAGTGTCTGTTTATTCTGGTGTTTCCTAACTACAGTTTTGTTGTGTGACACACCATGATTTCGATGTGACTTTAGCAGCCATGATGGCTGGCATCTTGACAGCAATTTGGACTATCATGAAATGGGATATGTCAAAAATGATCTAAAGTGACACCTGGGCTTCTTTTCTTCCTTCCAGGACAATACCATTTTATTCTTGAGAGGCTGCAAAGAGCTCGGCCTTAAAGAGTCTCAACTCTTTGACCCAAGTGACCTCCAGGATACGTCCAACAGGGCCACTGTCAAGTGAGTAATGCCTGGTTTATGTTTAAAGGAAACCCTTGATGTTTGGATAAGCAGTTTCGAGAGGATGTTGCAAGTGCTAAGAGGTAGAAGATTACACATACCTAAGAAAATATAAATGCACAAGCAACAGTCAGGCTTTCGCAGCAGGACACAGTGTCTTCTCCTCTGTGCAGAGCTCCGATTCTGAGCTAATGTAGTTTTTCAAGTGAATATAGAAGCAGAATTTTGAAGAAGAGAAAATGGTAAGTAGAGTTTAGAAGCAAGGCTACAGCAAAATATGTACAAAATCTACGGGCCTTAAGCAGCACCCCTTTCATTGGCTCCAGTGGGATAGTTGAATAGGCCCTTGGCAGACTGCACTCAAACAGATTGACCGCTGTTGATGGTGGGGTGTGCGGGAGATTTTCTTGTTTGTGACAGTGATTAAGCTTTTCAGAGATGGATCATTGGCCTTTCGGCCATTTCTACCTGCATCTATTTAGCGAATCACATTTGGGGGCAAAGAATTCTTGCAATAGGATGAGTTTCTGTATAAAGAGATAGCTCATGAGCAGAGTACGAAGATCCATACTTAGGAGGTGGCAAAAATAAATTGCCAGTAGTTCAGGGCTTCTTCAGAGCCTGCGATGTCATAGAAAGCAGTTGTCGTTTTATTCAGAGTGTGGAGTATGAGTATAGTTGAACAGTAAGCTGGGTTCTCTCCTGGGACCAGAGAGATGGCACAGTGGTTAAGAGTGAGTAACACTCTTGCAGAGGATCCTGGATCAGTTCCCAGCACCCATGCTAGGCAACTTACAACCTCCTATCACTCCAGCTCCAGAGCAACAGGCTTTCTCTTCTAGCCTCCATGGGCACCTGCATTCATGTTCACATACCCATACACTGATATAAACATATACATACACATACACTGATATACACAAATACATATATACCCATACACTGATATACACATATACATATCCATACACTGATATATACACATACATGCCCATACACTGATATACACACATACATATACATATACATACACATAAACTGATATATACATATACATACCTGTACACTGATATACACACATACATATACATACCCATACACTGACATAAACATATACATATAATTAAAAAATAAGTCTTTTGAAAAATATCTAAAAGTAGGGGAGGCACCATAGTCTGTAAACTTAGCACTTAGGAAGCAGAGGCAGGAGAATCTCTACAGGACTAGGGCCAGCCTAGTTTATATAATGCATGCACTGAAGAAACGAGGGCTCCGAAAGGGCGAAGTGTTGCAGACAACAGCGGTAGCAACAAAAGTCAGTAGGCTGAGTTAAGTCGAGAGGATCTGAGGTTTGATGATTGGAGCAGTGCCGTTTGGTCATGGAAGAGCGCAATAGGGAAAGAAGCCATGATTTAGAGTTGTTCTTTTTTCTATTCTCTGACCTTGATTTCATCATTATGATGATGGGAGACTTGAAACTACTGAATGAGTTGAAGCTTGGAAGTTCACAGTGGATTTGATGATTCGTGACTTGGGAAGAAGGAGAGTCAGCCATGATTGATGATCGAAAGTTACTTCTGCGTTTTTCACGTGCCATTCTTTAGTGTTTCTCACGGAAAGTGGATGTTAGGTGAAAAAGGCAAACCAAAGGTGTAATACTTCACTGTAGAAGCCTCCATAGGCCTCGCTGTAAAAAATCACACGCTCCATTTGTTACTGAGCCTAAATCCGGCCTCTGCTAAGTTCTGCTTCACGTTGGGGAATCACTTAAGTTCTGCCTCATCTCGTATTTCTAGTGTCACCTGCATGGCAAGTGACCAGAAACAACAGCAACTGTGCAGCACCCTAGGTAATAGTAACAGTCACACACACACTGTGCAGCACCCTGGGTACTAATAACAGTCACACACACACACACACACACTGTGCAGCACCCTGGGTACTAATAACAGTCACACACACACACTGTGCAGCACCCTGGGTAATAGTAACAGTCACACACACACACACACACACACACAGTGCAGCACCCTGGGTACTAATAACAGTCACACACACACTGTGCAGCACCCTGGGTAATAGTAACAGTCACATACACACACACACACACTGTACAGCACCATAGATAATAGTAACAGTCACACTCACACACTGTGCAGTACCCTGGGTACTAATAACAGTCACACACACATTGCTCAGAAGGTGAAGGCAAACTTACTCTGGTGGATTACTCTAGATCCTTTTTTTAATTCTTAAATTTTGGCCACCTTTAAACAATAAATTACCAGAGCAGAAGAATTTTGAGGCCTTTTGGTTTCAAAAACTAAAACAGAAACCCAGATCATTGTTCACCTATGACAATCGGGGGGTCAGAAATCTGGGTGGAGCTCCCGGTCTGGAGCTGCCTAAACCTACACTCTCATCTACAGGGTAAGACTGGATCCAGTGGTTCCAGATGTGGCTTGGTCATTGCAGACCCGGGGGAAGAAGGCAACCAAGGGATCTATTAACTCAGAGGCTCTGGAAGCAACCAGCTAGGAGAAAGTCACCTAGGCCAGTCACAAGTGCTCACAGTCCCTTTGTTATGGCAGCATCTTCATCTTCCTCTGCCTCCCACCTCCCTTCCCGTTTTCATCCTTTCTCTCATCTGCCTCCCCTTTTGCATTTCTTCTCCGTCTCTTTCCTTTTGAAGATGTCCTCCGCTTGTGCACTGTGATCTTTAGACCCTGCTTTTCCATCACCTCCACTTACCCTCCATACCTTCATTCATGCGTTGAACAAATGAGTAGCTCAGTAGCTGCTGCGTGTGAGATACTTTCCTCCCTGAGGAAAATGCGCAAATGAGACAGCCAGGGTCCTCTGTTCATAGTGAATTTACACTGTGGTGTCAATAACTTAGAAATGTTGAGTAAGAAAGAGAATAATCATGGGGGGCGAGAACGCTGCAAAGAGCATGAAATAGCGAGGCAGAAAAGACAGTGCCCATCTGGAGGGGGTCAAGGATAGGCCGTCTGAGGGGGTGACCCTTCAGCTGAGGACGCAGACAGCGACAAGAATGAGAAGCAAGCATCGGCCATGGGGAGGTTTGCTGTGTACCTGGGGTGGAGGAAAGAAAATAAGTGGTCGTTATTGAGAAGAAAATAATACTTGGCATGCATTTAAGGAAAACCCAAATGCTGGAGACAAACACAATCATCAGGCAAAACCAAGGTGAAACCATTCTTGTTCTTCTTAATAACAACTGAATTCTGTATAGGACAACGGTAAATTTCTAGCCTTCACCTTTCACATGTGACATGAAACACTTTATAAGTTTTATATGTTATTGGTAATAAATACTGCTCTTTGATTGGCTCAGAAAAAAAAAAGAAAATAAGAGGTCAAGGAAGAAGAAGCCGTTAATGCTTAGGAGAAAAGGACCCAGTGAGGCTGGAGGGTTGTACCTAAGCACCTGTGCTGAGAGAGCGCTCATCACAAGCAGTGGGGATGCTGAGCTTGGAATCATTGCGTAGAGAGATGGTCTCACTAGATTGGTAGTTAGAAATCATAAAGATTTTATAAGAAAATCATGTTGCAAATTAATTTGTGGAGCTTAGAGAGGCATTGCTTCTGGGGTGTGCAGGAGCGCAGGAGAGGAGCTTGGAATAAGCTATTCGCTTCTCAATGTTTGCATAGGTGATTCTGCTTTTTGGCACTAGTTGTAGGGAACTCGTTTTTAAAGTGTTGATATTGTAGCTCAGATAGATCCAAGTACCAGCGTTGCAGTTCTCTGGTTTCCCTTCTGAGAACTGAGCAGCTAACAGCTTAGAGGGAGAGCATCATTTTGACAAGAATTAGTAGCATCAGCAAGGAGATACAAGATGAAGGATGGATCTCATGGGGAATATTTGTATTTTTTAATTTTTTTTAAAGAAACACTCTAGTTTTAAGTACAGGTCATTTTTCTTACCTTTTCTATCCAAATGTAACCTGAGAAGACAACAAAGAAAAAATATTTAAGAGGAAAAACCTGAAAATTATTACATTACCGACTGTGTAATTGCATGAACTCTACCTATAATGAATGCCAGACAAGTTTGATGGAAATAAAAGCACAGTGCAGAGGGGCACCCGGCACAGACCTTCCAGGGAATCAACACAGTCTCACAGAAGTGCAGAGAGGGTGCAGATAGCTCCTGGGGCAGGAAGTCTCTCTAAAAACTGGGAAGTGTTTCCAAGTTGTTGGCAGTTATGAGGAGATCACTCAACAAATATTTTGTGAGGTCCTACTGTGTGCCGCGTATAATTTTTTAGCACCCAGTCCCAGTTTCTCTCACTGACCTTTTATTGTCAATGCAGGAAAAGGGTCATTTTCTCTGTACTTGGTTTTCTAAGATATTTTATGTCTTCCTTGGATTTTTTTCATCTTTCTATTGTTAAATGGGAAAAAAATCTTCATAGATATTTAAGCCGAGAATAGCATTAAACTCGAAAATATAAAAACATTTCCTTGATAAAATGCGGATTGGATGGATTCTTGTCTTACCTGAAACCCAGGACCCTGTGTTGCCCCCCACAGAGCAGGGCTGGCGTTTGCTAGTCCTTCCGATATCAGTCAGCTCAAACCTGCCCACTGCTCATCACGCATGTTTGTTAGAGTCCGCTAGAAGCACGTAATCATGATGTAAATGCTTTGAGGTGCCCTTGGCTAGTTTACACGGTGGGATTTCTACTCCCCCTGCCTCACCAAAGTGACCAGAGAAAAGGAATTGAGCCTTCCTTTTCCTAGTACTTACTTGTGCATGTGTTCATTTTGATGCTCCATGAATAGAGCTTTGGTGGGTTTTAGTTAGGGAATAAACATGATGTGTATTTTTGAATACATGTGCATACATTTGAAAATAGCATGCAAATTTTCCTGTTTATGGCCAAGTTTTTATTCTAATTGTGACGGGGACAGGGAGGAAAGCTATTTGGATAGTGCTGCTTCCTCTTATATGTGTATTTTCAGGTCAAGTTTTCTAAGTTTTCAGACCTTTATTAAATGTACTTGCAAGTAGAAGACGACTTGGGAAATGTGATCAAATCTCCTTCAAGACAGAATCGTCAACAGTCAAGCTTTGTAAATTCAAATACAAATTAGTCCAAACTTTAAGCGGAATTCTCAATTTCATGTTAAAAAGCATTTCTGGCATCCTGCAAAACTTCAATCCTACTTGGTCCTTGTATTTTGTTTGTTTGATTGGTTGGTTGGTTGTTTTCCTTTAGCAATTTTCTCCTACAACTGAAACCTCCAGTCATAGGCCTTTAAAAGCCAGCAATATTCTTCTGATTTTGTTTTATGTATTTTTTGTAAGTGTGTCTTAGAGGTATTTAAGAAAAGACCACACTGAAGAAACTGCTATTCTAATAATGCTTTGTTTTTCTTTCCTGATCTAGGAACCTTGATTATAGCCGGAAGCTGAAAAACGTAAGTGTTTTAATGTCTCTCTCCAAGTTTGTATACTTTGGCTTTAATTGGTCCAAGGTTGACATTTAGCTAAATGCAGTGCATCTGATAGGCCTTATTAGAAAGATTCTTTCTTAGAAAAAAGTAAATGCATCTCCTATAGAATAGTTAATAGCTATGCTAGAGCTAAAAATAGTAGATTTGGAGGTTGTACTCTAATCAGAATTCAGTCTAGAAATAAACAAAAGCTTGTATTCTGTGTGTGGGCTCATTTTCCTAAAACACAAAGTGATGGGTCTCAAGATTGACATTAGCCATTTCCATTTGCGGCCCAGATGGGCTCGCAGTCAGCACACGTTAGCTATGTTATGGTTCTAGTTAATGTCCTTACATTCGGGATTGTCTGTTCTCTGGGAATTTATTTGTAAGAACTCAGTTAATAAAAGCCCTTCTGGAAGTTTTGAAGGATTCATGATGTAAGAGTTTCCCGCAGAGGAAGAAAACTCACCGCATCATAGTACTCTTGCACACTGCTCTATTTTGGGCCGTGGCCAGCTGGACCCATTTGACTGCGTCCCATTATCCAGACCCACAGTGCGGAAGGTAGGACAATAAGTTCTTCCCAGCGTAGACGAAGCAAAAAGACAGAACGTGAACATAAAGTCTAAGCTTTTGCATGGGCTTCTGATCCCTATAATTCAGCTAAGGAGCACATCGCTAGCCAACCCGTGTTTTGTTTTTTTTCTTTCTTTTCTTTTCTTTCCTTCCTTCCTTCCTTCCTTCCTTCCTTCCTTCCTTCCTTCCTTCCTTTCTTTCTTTCCCCCCACCACAACTGAAGGTAAAGAACATTTGTGCTTTTGTGAACAGTTCTTTGGAGAGACGGCACAAAACTAATGTAGGACAGTAACCTCAGACCACTGGATATTCATGAACATTCTTCAGTGTCCAAGTTTGGTTAATTGATAGCAACTGTGTCAAGGCTAAAATCTTCCCATCCCAGATGAATGAGGATGCGGCTGTGCTCTCAATGCGAGAGCCCTGCTGGCCCCACTCTCTGGGCCTTGCTGACTTCCCTTAGATGTACTGTGTGGATCCCGTGCTGCGGGACACTCAGTAACCTTTACCGCTCCTTCGGGATTTTTGCCATCCATTCCAGTAGGTTCTCCATGCACAGGAGTGAAAAGGAGGGGCGCCGAAAGCACCCGTCTCCAATGGAGCTGACGGGCCTCCTGCATTGCTCGTCTGGGTAAAGACTCCAAAGAGCTTGTGGGAAAATGCTGAGTGACGAGGATGTCGTTTTGGAGGATTTATTTTCCCTCCTTCCTCACTCAGAGATCACTTTCTCACAACCTCCTCTTGCCTAGCGCTGGAGACTTACTTGACTGAACCGTGTGTCTGGGTCAGCGGAGACAGCTTTGGGTTCCCATTACTGTGATCTCAAGTTAATGGATGCAGCCTGCACTGGTTTTCACGAGTCAGCATCGCTGAGCTGTTCCTTCCTGCTTTGCCGGTCCCGGAGTGGAAATATCATTCTTCAGGGCAAATCCTGCTACTCGTATGCGTTGTTTTGTTCCGTAGGTGTTAGTGACCATTTACTGGCTGGGGAAAGCTGCAAACAGCTGCGCGTCCTACAGTGGAACCACACTGAACCTGAAGGAGTTCGAAGGCCTGTTGGCTCAGATGCGAAAGGTGACTTGGCTCTTCTTCCTCATCCCCCGAGGGGTGGACAGAGTGGGAAAGCGGCACGTTTTTAAGATTATTACAGTTCTGGGACCAGAATGCTCAGTGGGGAATGGAATTTGATACTCTTCCAAAGAACCTGGGTTCAGTTCCCAGGAGCCACATGGTAGCCCACAACCTTAAGTAACTCCAGTTCCAGAGGATATGATGCCATCTTCTGACCCCTGTGGGCATACGTGTAGAGAAAATACTCATACACATAGAATAAAAAAAAACTTTACTAAAATAAAGATAATTATGGCTTTGCAGGTAGAACTGTTCTGACCCAAGGTATGTACTCAAGGAAAGGGCCGGGTGTCTTACCCAGAGCGTATTTGCCCCCTGTCTCATCTCACTTGAAGTTGTATATGTCATACTCTTTAGTGAATGGAAAAGCTCAGCTGGCTACAATTGTAGTTACAAAAGAGTGAGTTTGATATGTTGGTGTATGGCCTGCACCGTGGAGCTCATGGCCTGTGCATTTGGAGGAGTGATGCCCGAATTAAACAATGTGTCATTATACAAAAACAAACGCTTGCCCTGCACTTTGAGCCTAAAGGTCATGGCGCTTGCCTGTTAGGCCCTTGATGTGGGCGAAGTGATGCCAGCCATGTCCTTGCCCCAGCTGCCACCCTAGATGGGCTCTGAGAAGCTAGAAGTACTCCTTTTACTGTGTGTGTCTGATGCCCATTGTCACTGAGTGATCTGGACACTCAGAAAATGGTTTTAGAGCTTGATGTGTTTATTAAACTATTTGATGGCATATCACTAAAAGCTTGGTTTGTTTGCTTGTGGGAAAGGTTGGCAGAAGGTAAGAATTTGTTAAACAGTGGAATGCTTTTATGGAGCCTTTTAAAGGCTCAGCATTATAGTTAATTCATACAAAATATTGGTTCCTAGTATTGGACGGGAGAATCCCTACCGAGCAGCCTGTGTAAGCAGGAAGGCTCACCTGTAGTTATCATCCTTATATTTTGGTCAGGGCCATCTCAGGGCACAAATAATTGAGGCCAGCTCTTTCTTGCTTTTCTACCATACAAAAATAAATCCACTAATGAGACTCACTGAAAGATATTCAAAAGGGCAGCAAGTTGACTCATGGGTAAAGATGCTGCCACCAAGCCTTATAACCTGACTTCCATCCCTGAGACTCACATGGTGGAAGGAAGGGACTGACTCACACGAGTTTTCCTCAACGTTCACATGTAGATGTCCAAATAACACACACACACACACACACACACACACACACACACACACACACGGGGGGGGGCAATAAAAAGTTTTCAGAATATTCAGAACTTCATGCTTTTAATTCTGAAAGCAAGAATTTGTTCCAACTTTCTAATAAATTGGTCTTCTTTCCTTAAAGCAGTGGTTCTCAATCTGTGGGTCACAACCCTTCCACAGGGTCGCATACCAGGTCTCTTGCGTATCAGATATTACAGTTCATAGCAGTATGACCTATAACAGATGACCTAAAAGATACTTACCTGTGATCTATATATTTCCATGTTCTCACTAATGATTGGGTTCAAATGCAAAATGTAAAAACTCAATAACAGCTGAAAAAATACTTTATTTCTTCTCAAGTAAGTGGGATTTGGGGGTGAGCAAGCAGTCCAGAGCGAGTATGGAAGTTCTACAGCTGGGCGATGCCGGAACGCCCAGACCCCTCTGTCCCGTGTACCATCATCCTTAGCCCATGGCTTCTTCTCCGTTGGCTCAAACTAGCTGCTCAGACTTTCTCTGTCATGTCCAAATTCAAGTCAGGAAAAAGGAAGATTAGAAAAGAGGGCTAGCCTTTGAGCATGCCTTTAGAAAAATACACACTATATCCTGCTGTGGTTTGAATGTCCCCCATAAAACTCATGCTGGACTTGAACTGCAGTGGTGGCTACAGGAGTTATATTTTCAAGGCTGTTTGGCCGTGGGGAGTACAGTCTCACAAATGAATCGATGCTGTGGTTGAGGGAATGGGTTTGTTATCCCAGCTGTGTTACCAAGGCAAACTGTCGGCGGCACGTGCATCCTCTAGGTAGAGAATGGCTTCTGTTGTGTTATGAAGGTCTTTCTCCATGCCATCACCTTAGCATCGGACTTAGCAGACTGTAGAACTTTGATATGCAGATTCTTTTTTAGTGACCTAATCTGCGGCATTCCATTCTAGTCTGTGACAATAACTCACAACTTCTCATTGATTTGAACTCGGTCATAAATTCATACCCATCTGCAAGGAGAGACTTAGGAAAGAAAGGCTTTATAAAGGCTTTTTATTTTTTGGTTATAAAAGGTAAATATATGCTGGGTGGTGGTGGCTCACACCTTTAATCCCAGCACTCAGAAAGTAAAGGCAGGTAGATCTCTGTGAGTTCCAGGCCAGCCTGGTCTACAGAGTGAGTTCCAGGACAGCAGAACTGTTTCACAGAGAAACCCTCTCTCGGGGAAATACACACACACACACACATACATACATACATACATACATACATACATACATACATACATGATATATTATATATAATATGTTTAATTTATCAGAACACAAAATATTACACAACAAGTAACTATAGGGTACTTATTCTTAGCAGGAATGCCGAGTTGTAAGGGGGCTTGGTGTTCTCAGTGTTGTGAGCAATGCAGGTTATTTCTCCATGGCCTTCACTCATCATCCCCCATCTCTTCTGGAATTTACTATCCTTCCTCTAAGCAAGGCAACCCTCATAAAGGGATGCAGCTAATAGCATCTCCAGGGAAGACGCTTCTAGGAAAGGTAAGGGAGTATCTCCTCTAGACCCAGAAGAATTCCAAGGAATGGTAGCCCTGTTTCCCTAGTCATTGTGACCAGGGGTGGCATGGAGTGGTATGACTGGCCCACCCCTCCTGATCCAAGGGGGCATCAAAACAAGGAAGGATGAGGGGGTGACAAGCAAACAAACGCAAGAGAGACAAGTGCACAAAAGAGCCGCTACAATCAAACTCATCCCCCAAATTTGTATCTACTCACCTTTTTTTCTGTTTATCTGTGGTCTCTCCAGTCAGAACATGGGGGTCCTACAAAGAAGGTGTGTATTGATTTATTTACATGATGCTGTGTCTCTGGGGGATAGAATGCTTCCTAGAAGGTAATATCCGTGGAAGGAATCGCTTCCCCAAATGTGAGGAGTGAGGCATAGGCAGTCGTGTTGGAGAAGCTAAACCTCAGACATGTTTGAGCAGCACTCAGCCACCCCGTAAATCACACAGCGAGCAGAAAAATGTTGAGCTCTCCAGAGAAGGCATCTGGAGTGTCTTAGATGCTGTCAGTCACCTGCAGACCCTTGCTGGCTCTCATTAACACTTACCGAGGGACTAGGAAGAGAGGGGGATTCGTGAAATAAGTTCTGAGTTTGTGGAGGCTAGCGGCGCCCGTTCCCTTTCCGAGCTCTCTTTCACCAGAACAGCGAACAGTTAGTACAGTGGGTTGTGTTCAGTCTTCCCTGCCTTCCCTCAAGTGCTCTGTGGAAGACAGAAGGTGCTGTGCTCCAAGGTGAAAGGTACAGACAATGCAATTAGACCCCTTAAAGATGTAAGCTTACCTCTCTTTGCTGGTTTATATTTTCTACCCTCTTCCAAAGCCTCACTTTATAGCAACCCCCACACACACCACCAAAAAAAAGGGGGTGGTGACTTGTTTGAAACCAGTAAAGCTGAAAGTCCAGTGGATGGCCACATCTTTTATTTCTGGCTGAGAAGTCAGCCTCTTGCTTTACCTGTGGCATTCCTGGGAGGCCAACATGGCCAGGGATGGCCACAGTGACCTGTTTCCCACTTCTCAGACTGTCCATGCCGTTTATTTCCCCACCGGAGACTCAGCTTACGACATAGTCGTGAACATGGCAAGCTTTCTGTTTTTCCCATGAGTACCAGGGAGAAAGCCCGCTGAGGCTCCAGGAATAAGCACACTGACCCTCTTTCTTCCTGAATCTTCTACTGCAGTTGGAGGTGCGGGGAAGACCCAGGCTTCGTGGAAAGCCTTTCTGATATTATCTTCTGGAAAATTCAGTTTTGTCATGTTGCCCCAAGTAGCCTGTAAGCATGTCACTGCTAGCTGCAACTAGTGGCCCCACCCCCTGAGAGTCTGCTTCTCCCAGTCATCGAGACCTAAGTAGAAAAAGAACAGATCAGTGTGGAAAGTGTTGCCCTTGACATCAGTGTATAAATATTAGATAATTTCTATATTAAAATGTGCATGCCTCATTGAAGAAAGAGTAGTTAAAACCATTGCTGATGATGTTATTCTGCTTCATCCCCTGTTCCGAATATTTTCCACATGTCGCCTGTTTAATAGTCCCAGAAGCCCCGTTGGATGGGTGTCATTGTATAGATGAAGACCTGTGAGGCGACATGAGTTGCCTCATATCACACAGCTAGCAAGATTAAGACCCAGCCATATGGTCATAAGCAGCATCATGCAGGAGACATAAGCCAGAGTGGCAGCATTCACCGTGCAAGGTACAGGCAACATCCAGTTGAGCCATCTTGCCAACTTCCAGAGGTGAATAGTTTTAGGTTTTATTTTTAAGTATTTACTTCTTAACTGTGTGGGTTAAGGTAAAGTAACTTCCCGATTCCCGTTTTTCTCTTCTATAAAATAAGGATATTATTAACTACCATATTGACTGGTTATGGGGGTAAATAACATGATATGCAAAAAGCATGACCTGGACATATAGTAACCGTTCAATAAAAGTAAACTTCATATTTTAGTCATTTGGCTGATGAGTAATTTACAATAATAACTTGTATTCCCAAGGAAGCTAAATTTGAACCTCTGTCTAGTTCAGATCTATATTTTTTCAGTGAGTCATGAGTTCTTTTTTCAACTTCTCAGGCCTGGATTTTGTTCCAAATTCATGTTAACTTTTGACCTGCAAGTAATTAACCTTAATTTCCATAACTGGCATTTCTGCCTTCCCCTAGAGCAGTGGTTCTCAACCTATGGGTCTTAAGGGGGTTGAACGACCCTTTCACAGGGGTCACCTATCAGATGTCCTGCATGTCAGGTGTTTACATTACAATTCATGACAGGATCAAAATTACAGCTATGAAGTAAGTAGCAACAAAATAATTTTGTGGTTGGGGGTCACCACAACATGAGGAACGGTTTTAAAGGGTCGCAGCATTAGGAAGGCTGAGAAGCACTGCCCTAGAGTGTTGTATTGCTAGACTCACCCAGGTGTTTGACAGCCTATTCTTCAGGGGCTGCAGGGTTTTCCTCACCCCCTCCCCTGCCCTCTTGCCCACTCCTTCCTCCTGATGGGAAACCTGAGTGTGCCTTGTGAATTGCAACCATCCCAGCCTCCCCCCCCCACCCCCATGCCTATCTCCCCAGGGTGGAGAATGGTTCAGAAGCCCCCGCTCCCCAATTGTTAGAAGCAGACAGCAAATATGCTTCCTGCAAAGGCATGGGCTCCCAGGGGTACCTCAGATAGAATAGACCAGCATCTCCAACTGCAAACATGGGAAATGCTGATTTATTTAATTATTTATTTTTCCTTCCCATTGGGAATGCAGAGGGGACCTCCATGTGCATCCCGGGGACATCTGTGGGGCCACATTCCTCTCTTTGTGCGTGAGAGCACACTCTTCTGCCAGTGTGATCCACAGTCTTGATTTCTTGCGATAGTCTCGGGGATATTGAGCGGAGGTTTATCTTTGAGTGACGGGAGTTATTTTTGTTTTCACCAGCCCGGACTATTGTAATGAATGCGAAGGCACCGGCGGGAACAAGGCTTTTCTTATAATACGAGGGTGAGGATGGTTTTGACTGACCTTTCTTCTGCTGGAGTTCCAGTGTTTTAGTATGTGCCGCTTGTGCTAGGAAGAATTTATAATCACAGGCTGTCAAAGACAGCCATTGTTCTCCCCGCTCCGAACATGTGGGTCAGCCACAAGTGCCTGCAGCTCCCCCAACGCCAAGAGCTGGCAGAGAGAGAGCATGCCTGGATTCTTCTGAGGCATCAGGAAAAGCATTTTGCATATTTTTCATTGCCTTTTTTTTTTTTTTTAAACTTTTGCCTCAGAAAGACAGCTCGCTTTCAGAGCAGGAATTTCCCTCCAAGGTAGCCGGAGATGGAAGCATACTGCTGCAGAATTTTACAGCCCTGATTCTGCCTGCCTTTGCCAGATAGCGTAACCCTGGGCAGTGGTGCTGAACTAGGGGCTCGTCCCACAGACATGCGGCTATGGATTCCGAAAGACAGGTTAAAGGTTTTGTCCTTAATTGTCAACGATCATTGCATTCTTCTGAATCCAAACTTTGTGATTCTCTATATGTAATTGCTTTTTAAAAAATGTGTGTGGGATGTGAGTTACTTGGGGGATTTTGTTGTTGTTGTTGATGTGCATGGTGTTCTAATTGAAAGGATGCAGGAGAGAAAGGTGGAGGAATTGGCTAATCACCTGTTGATGCTCCTTAGTCTCGTTAGCTAGCTGCTATGACTTTTCCACACCAGATCGCGAGTGTCTTCGTGGACCACTGGAAGCCGGATAATCTATGTATGCTGCAGTCATATCTGAAATTCCTCTGTTTTATTTTGGGATAGGAGACTGATGACATTGAGAGCCCTAAGCGCAGTATCCGAGACAGCGGCTACATCGACTGCTGGGACTCTGAACGCAGCGACTCCCTCTCTCCTCCTCGCCACGGCCGAGATGACTCCTTCGACAGCCTGGATTCTTTCGGCTCCCGCTCCCGGCAGACACCTTCACCAGATGTAGTTCTCCGGGGAAGCAGTGATGGTAGGTCGGCTCTTGGGATTAATCAGCAACAGGAGTTTCGGGGTCACGGTTAGAGAGTGGAATGCCGGGAAGGCAGTCTCCATATCCACCTGGCGGGAGCCTGGTAATTCTATAAAACTGGGAAGGGGTGGGCAAGGTCTTTGGCTGTTATTTTTCATGGCTTTCAGAATTTTGGTTGGCTTTGCCAGCAGTTCATTTGAACACTGCCTCAGTGAGTGTATCTTCTGCTGGAAAAAAGTGTTACATCATTGGTGCCTGAATCAAGATGCTGTGCAGACCATTAGCTCATAAAGTGTGCTCAAGTTTATACACTGTGGGTACAAAGAAGGGAAATGCATAAGTGAAAAATGGGACAACTTCCCGGCACGCAAGAAGTGCACTTACAGCGCAGAGGGCTGGGGCGCTGCCCCTCTTCATTAGCGCCCGTTTTATCAGTCAGTTTGATGCCTAGCACGTCTGACTGCTGGGCTAGCTCAGTGCAAACGGCCGTGAGTGAACCGGGCAGTGCCGGACTGCCATTTGGCCCCAAGGCTGAATTTTATTTAAATCCTGCGAATCTGATATTATTTGTATGGAATGATCATTATTTTTGCTACCAAAAAAGAAAAAGAAAAAAGTGCTGACCTGTAGCCTGCTAGGAGTTCAGTGGCTGTTACTAAGGGCTGCTTGCTTTAGTTCTCTTCTGCCTCAGGGCTTTTAAGGAGGGCAGCTGGCTTGGTTCAGCGTGTGTAAACTTGCAGGAAAACAGCAAGGCTGGTGGGGGATTTTTTTTGTTTCTATTTTTGCATATGTTGCTTGGTTGATAGTTATATTTGGGGATATTCTTCTTCTGTCTCAGATCAGGATTCTCTTTTGTGGCTTTTTTCTTTACTTGTTTCTTTTCTTGTTACATCAGATTCTTACTATAGGTTTTTTTGTTTGCGATTGACAACAGGCCTTGTGACATCTAGATGAGGGCTGTGCCACTGAGCCATATTCCAAGCCCCTCGGCCATGCAGGTCCTGGTGATACTTGGTGTTTCACCGGTCCAGGTTCTAAGTTAGACCAGACACTTAGCTGGCAGTGTCTTATTTAATCTTCAGCATAGATGTTGGTGTCTCACTACATCTTAGTTTTCCTTGCACAGAGCTGGGAGACACCCCTGATCCTTATTTTACAGAAGTGTCTTCAGGAGTTTAAGCCTTTGTCCCAATATTTCTAAATGATGAAAATCACTGTCGGTCTGGTAGTTTAACTGTGTCGGCCTCAAGAAGTGTGGGTCCGAGTGGGTTCCTCTTAATTTACCCCGGGCTACTTTCCCTTACCCGATAGAGGTTTTATTCTGAAGTCGCTGTTCTAAAGTCAGAATGTACACTTTTCCGCAGACAGCTTAGCCTCGGGGCCGCATAGTGTGTGACTCCCAAAGAATTCCATGGTACATTGTGAGCTGCTTGAGAAATATTTCTGAAATTTTATTTGACATCTTAAGTACCACCCACAGCACTAGAAGTTAAAATACCAAGTCTGTGATCTAATTATGCTTTCATACAGCCCATGCATGGGTTTACTTTTACCAAAACCATCTCAACCAAACTATGTCACCCATGTTGTTTGTTTTAACTTCGAAAAAAATATGACTTCTTTTTCACCTTTTTTTTTTTCTGTAACTGGTACTGTGGATGCTTTAGTCTGTCACCAGCTTTGAGGGTTCAGAGTTTAAACCGCATCTTGAAAGCATTTGAGATGATGATTAGTAATATTATACTAAAATAGCCCAAAGCACAGTTTAGTTGCAGCAATTAAGGCTGATAAACTAGAGCCTATGGATAAATGCTTTCTCCAGCAGATGAACAGTGAACAATCAGGTGAACACAGCTCTACCGATCCCCCATCCCCGATCCCCTTTGCTGTGCATCTTCCACAGGTTTCACCAGTTAATCTGATATCTTAAGGCTTCTCTTCCTGTAAACTAATCAAGATCTAGTGAAGCCTCAAAAGAAAAAAACATATCTCTTAATCTTCCTTTTTGGTGTGTTCCTTAAAATGATGCTAATCAGGAAGATTGCTAGTTCTAAAATAGTTCCACGTTTGAAAGCGAAAGACTTTTGGGGGTGGGGGTATGTCTTAACATTTTCTTGTCCCACGATCAGGAATCAGGGGCAATTTTAACATAAAATTCTTTGCCTTTATATTGGGTCCATATGGAAGGCTTCAACTTTGTTATATGGGTGGGTACCTACTGACTAATTCAAAGGAGACAAGTCACATTCAGAAGCTCCATGATTCTGAGTTGGATATGGTTTTATGGTAGGAAGGCTCTAAGCCCAGAGGCTTGCTTCAGCCAACTTGTCTTGCCAACCAGGTACCAAGTACCTCCTTCAGCCTCCACCGGCATCACCTGTGAAGGCCCTTTAAAAACTTCGCTGGGCAAGAGATGCAACCTTGTACCCATGCTGCTTTGAAAATTAGTCATATTTTGCTTTGAAAATTAGTAGTATTTCATAAATATGACTCATTGCATTAACTCAGTATCTCCATATTTTTTTCAAAAAGACGTGTTACAAAATAGAAATACCAAGTAAGCAAAAACGAAGTGCTAGAAAAAAAATTACAAAGTATTTGTAATCTGAGGGTATCTGGCAGCAAATATGTGGAAGGAAGAGGGGGCAGAGAGGGGTAAGGGATGCGAACGGCTGTACTTGCTGGTAGCCACGTGGGAAAGAAGGGTGAGACTTTGATAAAATAATATTGCACCGCGTGCTCTGTTGTATTTTCCTAACTTTGCACATTTGAGGAGAAGCCAACCTAGTAGATTTCCATGTCCACAGGCTAAAAATGAGGTAAGCATCTTTTTTTAGGTCTAGCCTTACAATTATGCAGGCATGACACGCCAGCCTTCCTGAGGTCGTATGTGTCACTTCACTGAATCCTCACAACATCCCAGGCGAGCACCAGTGTCATCCCTGTGTCAACCATGGGAGCATAGGGTGCAGGGGTTGAAACGCACGCCCAGTGTCATGGAGCTAGCAAGTGGTGGAACTGAAAGGCCAGCTTGGCTGTACACCACTGGAGCTACCCACTTTACAGCTAAGCCCTGGGACACTGGCAAGTTCACGTTCCTTAAAATGTCTGTTGAGATGGTCCTGAAGAGTAATTCCAGGAGGAAAGGGGTGTGCTTACATGTTAACATATTTTGAGACTTCCAGTATGTTGTGATGATATTTAGCTAATATGCAGAAATACGGCCCCTAGAGTGTAGATTAAGGGATCTAAGACAACTGTGATCATCACTACGCTGTTGTAGTAGATGGTAAACTCATTTACTTCAATTCATTTATCCAGCACAATGTAGTATTTCTCTACTCAGGGCACTTTAAGAAGATGTTTCTCTCAGAACAGTGTGCTCACAGGACAGAACTTGGGGTGTCCAGTTTCCCTGAGCCTGCACTAATCAGCCATGGGGAGGGGAGAACCCGTCTGGCTCCTCTGAGCCTGTTTCTGTCTTTATAAAGAGAGGCTACTGTCACGTGGAGAAACAAATCCGTGTGCGTATTTGTTTACAGGTGACCTTTTATTTTGGCACTGACAGATACACTTGTTAGGACTTGTGGTGGGTAAGGGGCTAAATAATGAATCAAATCCTAACAAGTCAGGAAATGGCCAAAATTTCAGAAGAGAGACTGTGAGCACGTTCCATGAATAATTCATAGTCTGAATATTTCACATTCAATGAACAACTTGTTCGCAGCCAGTGCTCTTAACTCTTATGGTCTCTCAAACATCATTATATTGTCTAATCTTTGGGGTAAGTCCTTTCATTCCAGTATCACAGAGAAGGGAAGTCAAGTGTGTTAGGAAGCTACAGCTCATGTCTGATGGGATCGTAGGTCCATGTTCCAACATAAAGAGCAGGAAGCATGTATTAAACACTTAGTGCCAGAGACCAGAACAGTGGTTACAGGTGGATTCAACCCTTCCAGTTGCCCCATAAAGGAGATGGCATTATTACCCTCACTTTACAATTTAGATACCATCAGGTTAACAAGACCAATAAATAGCTCTTAAGCATAAATGTCTTCACTATCAACAGAGTCAGAATGATGTCATGCTCTCTTTCTTTGATTGAGAGTTTTCAACCAGCATTAAAATAGCAGTTACTCATATGATTGTGTTTTTCTTAATGATAGCTTCATTCTAGTAGACCTTGGAAATCTAACAACATGAGACTTGGACAAAAAGAATGTGTTACAATTATTGGGGCTGTGATCAAGGAGCAAGCTGATGTTGGCAGAGTTGAATTCCTTTGCATTCAAAACAAAACAAAACAACTCTTCAGCCAAACTGAATCATGCATCCATCTGCGTGTGAGATGCCCACTGGCTGCAATGGTGTGCCTTAGAAGCTGTATCCTGGACAGCTCTGGTTTTCAAAACAAGGGGAGAAAGACCTGTACCGGGAGAAGACATGATCATGGGTTGGTAGGGGCAGCAGGAAGAAGATTGTCCCAGGGAGCTGGGAAAACGCTGTAGAAGAAGATGAAGCCTCTTGGGAGGTAAACCCTCAGGGAAGTCCAAGTGGTCACTTTTCTAAGTTCTGCCGTTCTTATATGTCTTTGCTGCTAGATAATTTGTACCTTCTCTGTGTTCTGAGGCAGGGTAAAGATATGTAAAGACAAATAAGTTCTAATTCATTCATGTCACAATGTCTAGCACAGTAGACGCTAGCGATCACTAAAATCCCATTGGGAAGCTGGTAAGATTTTCTCTTGAGAGCGGCCAAAGCAAACCTTGGCAGGCAAAGAATTCCACACAAATGTGTCACTTACTGTAATTCCTGGCACACTCAGGCTTACTTACCTCTGTTTAAAAAAAAAAAAATAACAAAAACCCACCACCAGCAGCAACAACAATAAAAAAAAAAAAAAAAAAAACATGCTTGTAGTTTTTTTGGTTTTCCCTCACTAAAATTGAGGCCTTTTTCCAGAGGAGGTTAATTTAGGGATTTTCCAAGTTTCTAACTCAGGGTATGAATTCCAGAACACACAAGAGTTACTTGATTCTGTAGAGATGCCACTGAGCATCCCTGCTAGCCCAGCACACTTTCCCAGCATCCATCCTCTCTTTCCCAGGAAGAGGAAGCGACTCTGAATCTGACTTGCCACACCGGAAGTTGCCGGATGTGAAGAAAGATGATATGTCTGCACGACGGACTTCCCATGGTGAGCCGAAGTCTGCAGTACCGTTTAACCAGTACCTCCCGAACAAAAGCAACCAGACGGCCTATGTCCCAGCGCCTCTGAGAAAGAAGAAGGCCGAGCGGGAGGAATACAGGAAGAGCTGGAGCACGGCCACCTCCCCCCTGGGCGGGGAAAGGCCCTTCAGGTAGGAATGAGGTTTCAGGACTTTGAGGTGCCATCTTGAAGGAAAGGAAGTGGCCAGCGCATCCCAGAGAGCTTTGCATGAAATACCAATTTCATGAAGGTCCCTAACACTGCGCCTGGCACGCAGTAGGTAGCTAAGAAATAGTTCACTGAGGATCTGATGCTCTGAGGTCAGTCCCGTGGACGGAATGTGGAAAACACGTGTTGTGTTTGCCCTACTGTGGAGGCCACCACCCAACTTCTGAGCCTGTTACAGTGGGTGTACAAAGACTATACAAAAGGATTCTTGATGCACTCACGTAGAGCAAGCAAAGATAAGAACAGAGCTGATGGGACTTGAAGATCAGTGCAGATAAGGGTCAGAATAAATAGAAGACATGTTTTTCTTTTTTTTTTTTTTTTTAAAGAGCAGGAAGCGATTTCTTTAATCTCCGTATTAAGGTACATATTTATTCTGCAAGTATGTGTTAAGTATTGCCTATTATGTGCTGAGTACTGTCTTTTAGGATTTGGGGACCCAATAGTAAAACAGTAGAAAACAGTCCCTGTCTTTAGTAACCTTGTAAGGACTTTAATTCTCACTTTTATTATCTACGCTTTTTCCATTGAGGGAATGTTTAGTTCAAATTTTTGCTTACTGATCAAAACTAATGAGTTTTACCTTTCCAGCAGAAGTTGTTTTTTGCTTTCCATACCAAGTTTGCCAGAGTCCCTGATCAGTATGTAGGAGAAATGCATTGTGTTAATCAGCTACACTAAGTCGGCTTCGAATTAGCAGGATCACATTCTGGGCTGTGGCTGTTCATTTTGTAATTAAAAGTGATGTCGAAATGCCTTGGAAACAGCGACGTCCAGTGTGTTCCTGGTTAGTAAACCATGTTGTCCAACCCACTAGTTATCCAGAAACAATAGAGGAGGAGGGAAGCGAAGCAGGGTCTCCTGGTGAAGATGACCCCAGCAGCCAGACAGGCCACGATGGGTGGCCTCACGGTGGGTTAGAACCTCCTCTGGGCAGTGGTGAGGAGCAGTCCCCCGAGGAGGTTGCTGTGGTGCCCACTGCCGTTCCTGAAGACAGAGATGCTGTGGAAAGCCAAAGGCGCAGGAGGCTGGAGGAAGCTGGGATCAAGGTCATGCCAGCAGCACAGCGCTTTGCCAGGTTAGCTCTGCCAGCTGAGGGCTGGCTTGGCTGGCCTTCTGCATGCCCGCAGGTTTGGAATCCATCTAGTGAGTTGACTTCTCTCATCTGGTTTTCCCTGTTGCTACAAGTTCACCACATGGCTCTTCCCTGCTCTAGACGAATAGACTACTCTGCCTAGGGGCATGTCTCTGCTGAGTCCTTGGCTAGTTAAAATGGAGATCAAGTGTGAACTCTCTGTGCTTCGTTAGTTCCGTGGTCAGCTATTATGGGCTGCAGGATTTATCTAGCAATAACATTTTATTTTTCTCTTGCTTGTGTTTCGTTAACTCTCATACTACTCCTAAATGGCTCATTACGTCATGTGACCGGCCCATCATTAGAATATGTTCAGTGTCTTGAAATAGGGGGACAATCTATATTCCTAGAGAATAACTGACTCAGAAAAATACCCTTGTTCTCTTAAGGAGAAGAGAGGACTGGATTTGCCAGTGCGTTTTCTAAAACGTGGTCATTGAAAAGCTAGGCATGGAGCAATGACTTCTCTTCGTCACTGCTAAAGGCATCAGCGTGCAGTGCTCTGGATAGGTCATGTGGGATAGGGGAGAGGAAGTGTTTTAACAATCAAAGCCACATAATTCTACAGGTCTACAGCTTTATTGAAGGGGGGGTAAAAAGCTTGTTTATTTATTTATTATTTTCATCAGAACCACCGTGATCCTCACAAGTGATCTTGCAGTCAATGCGTATGTAACAAATTGACGCTCAGAGCAGTTCAACACCTGAAATTCCTTTCATTCTTGCTGTTCCTTTACCTTTTAAAAGGTCAATCATACACTCGCTTCTTTTCCAGAAGGAAAAACAAAGGGTGGGTGGTTATATTACTTCTCTTCGCGCTGTGAAAAGATACCTGATCTTAGCCACTTAAGGGAAGAATGGTTTATTTTCGTCCCTAATCCTGGGGGATTTTAATCCCATCATGTCCGGGAAAGTATGGTGGTGGGAAGAGCTTGGTCATATTGCCAGGAGCATGAAGCACCTGGCTTTATTGTGTCAGGCAGTAGAGAACGGGATCAATAAGGCTAGGCTGCAGCCCTCTCCCCAAGGCTTGCTTCCAGGGACCCACCTCTGCCAGTCAGATCCCATGTCCCATCTCCCAAAACAGTGTCACCATCTAGAGGTCAAAACCACACATGAGCCCATGGGGATTCTGGTGACAGCCCACATTCAGAACATAGCAAGGACAGTAAGTGACCTGCAAACCCGGCTATAGCTGACCCGGCAGCAGGATTCAGGTACTTTGACTGTAGCACCTTGTCTTCCTCCCAAGGGCATCTCTCTCCATAGGCTCCTTATATGTTCCCACGGTCTCATTCTTGAAGTATCCAGTGTTAACTTTTATAGATCTAATTGTAGGGTAGAAAATATAGAATATATTCTTTCCCTGTTTGTGAGGCCCCACAGTTAATCTGCCTACCCTAAACATGTAGTATGTGTTTCTAGAAATTCTGATGTAAAGTCTGCTTGTACTATAAGCAGGTCTCTGAAATAATGAAAAATAATATCACAGTGTATCTTCTGGATATCCAAAAATTCTTTGGCTGTGTTGGAAATATACTTTTCCTGTATCCTTCAAGCATCTGCATATCCCAGAGACCAAGCTAGAAGCTGAATACAAGTAACGAATAGCATCCCCTCACCATACACCATATTTCAAACTTGCCTGACTCCTGTCTTTAAACTTAGACCACAGTTACTAAGTTATACAGATGAGAGGACGAACACGCAGAATCAAATCTCTACAACTTTGATGCGCGTATCTTACTTTTTATCGTATCTGTGAAGTCTTTTAGCTAAAAGTCCATCAAGAAAATCATTGTCTTTGGAGTCTTTGAAATAGCAGCAGAGGCTGAGCAAGGGAATGCTGGGTGCTCATTGGGCTCACACGGGAATAAGATGGCAGAGCACAAAGTTATGTACAGGTTGGGAGTTCCGGAAGTGACCTGCGCCACTCAGTGGGAAGCATATTTCACAGTAAAACATTGAGTTCTTTGATAACAATTCTCATTCAGTCTACAAACACGGAGTCATGGTTTAGAATGTGGTTCTGGTGGGAGATGCTGTATTTAGGGGGTCACTTTTGCTTCCATGCATGTTTGCTGTTATCTGAGTCCGTTCTTATCTGTGTCATCCAAGTGAGCTGGGAAGCAGAGTTTTGCAGGCTTGTTAATGTCTTCACATCCCAGACTTTCTCACGCAGCATTTAAAGTCACGTTGAGGCAGCTATGAATCCTCCCAGAGAATGTCCCCCATAGAAGCGCTGAGTATCTGCTCTGGTCTCCAGGAGTTCATTTGGCAGACAGGTTTTCGCTGCTAGCTCAACTCCTGAAGCCAACATACACCATACACCATGCCACAAGCCCAGCTTGCCTGCATTGTTGTCACTTAACTTTATATAAGTCACAGTAGAGTTGAAAGTCGTTCTAAGTTTATCCACACTTGGGGTTCTGCTTTTAATGTGGCAAAAAAAAAAAGTTGCTTAACTGGAATGAAATGCAGATCATGCGGGGGCGGGGGGGGAGGATTCTCTGCGTGTGGAAAGTGAGAATATAAATCATCGAACCATGCCAATGTCTCAGAGCATTTGACCTCAAGTCTCTTGTTTTGACATCCAGATGGATTCTAGCCATCACATTTTTGGACCCAGCAAAGAAGCTAAAGATAATTCTTGAGGACTGTTGCTCAGCTGGGAAGAACTGTTAGCCGGGCATGTGCCATGCAAGAAAGGGACGTAAATACACGGTGGCGGGGGTGAGGAGGGGAGGGAGACAGCTTCATAGCCAGGCCACTCTTCTGCTTCCTTCCCAGGGATCCTCATATATGTCTTTGCATTACTTTGAAGCCAATATATACACGGAGCAAAGGTGCATGTCGCTCCTTTTGCACACAAGGTTAGAAGTCAATGGGACCCATACTGCTTATGAAAAATAAAATCAGGAGGTATCTTACCATCAAGGAACAGAAAGTAGGACTTCGCAATAAATGTGTGGCGGTTAATATTTATTAGAGTTTCCATCGAAGTTTTTTTTTAAAAAAAAGTATATAAACTGCTTTTTCTTCTATTTTATTTTATGACCATGTTAACTTAATTACCCCCTCCCCCTAAGAGTCTGTCAAAGAAGTCAAATTTCTGTTTTTAAGAGGGTAAAATAACCAAGATTCACTTCTCCCTAAATTAAAATGCCATAGAGATTTGAGTTCTCTTAACTTGGTGTTTCCCATTGGAGAAGTAAATTTTTTAACTGAATTATAGGCTTCACGTGACTGTACTTCTCTTCTAATTATTTGCACGTGTTTCCTCACTCAGCCTTTTCTTCTGGTCTGTGAATCTTCTCAACCACATGGTAATTAATGACAGAGGGAGACAACCCTCCCAGGGACAATAGACATTTCAGAAACCTTCAGAGGAAGAGCAGATGCAGCCCCAGCGCCAGACACATACTCTTCCATGTCCCTCTGTACCAGATGCCGGCTCCCTCCTGATTTCTGCAGCTCCCCCAGTCTAGGGACCAGACAGACACAGGCATGACCTCTGTGACTCTGAATGTGTCTGCCGTGCCTGGAGACAGGGTAACAGGGAGGTTTCTGCTGTTGCCTGTGACGTTCCCAAGAGAACGAACAGGCCTTTCTGGAGAGCCCAGTTTCTTTCAATAGAACACACTCACTGCCAAGCCAAGCTGGCTGTTCACTGCCAGGGAAAAGGAGTAAAAGAGAATGCCAGCTTTTTCTTATTTATTTATATTCTCCCCCCTCTCCCCTCTCTCTCTCTCTCTCTCTCTCTCTCTCTCTCTCTCTCTCTCTCTCTCTCTGTGTGTGTGTTACATGTACGTGTTCGTGCTCTTGAGCGTGCAGAGGTCAGAGGAGAACATCATGTATGTGGCTCTATTAGCCTCCACCTTATTCCCTTGAGCAGGATCTCTGAATCTGGAGCTAGGCTGGTGGCCAGAAAGTCCCAGTGATGCCATTGTCTTCGCCTCTCCCCCCAGCACTGAGGTTACAGCTACTCCTCTTTAAGTGGGTGTTGCCAGATTAAAGTCATGTCCTCTTCCTTGTACAGCAAGGGCTTACCTACAGAGCTGTCTCCCCCTCCCTCTTCCCCACTTTCTTAGTTTTAATCCGTATGCTTTGAAATATATAAACTTTAGACATTATGAGACAAGCATTTTCTCTGCCCTATCCTATGCAGCATTGGGTCCAGGTCCATAACCTTTCTTATCATGACAGCATTTCTTTTTTTTTTTTTCTTAGAAGAGGCTGACAGGATTGCTAGGTCATAAGCTGGCCTCTGCATTTCTCTGTAGTTGAATCAGGTCTTGAACTTGTGATCTTCCTGACTCAGCCCCCCAAGTAGCCGTGACTGCAGACCTGTGCCCTTGGTCCCCACTAGAGCTCTATATTTCAAATTATGTGTGGCTCGTATTGCCTCTCGTGAGCAGTGCCCACCCAGCCGTTGCCAAGCCTGTCGGTAACTGTAAGTCTGAGCAGCCTGCCTCTGCTGCCTCTGCAGACCCATTGAAAGTTACTTGACTAAGTTCGTAAAACTTGAACTAGAAACCTTAGCACTCGCTGCAAAATGGAAGTCATAATTTTGTGTATCAGCCTCTCAGATTTGAAAATTAAAAGTATATCAGAGTTTAACAATAGACTGCCTTTAAGGACTAAATAATACAGAATGGAAGTCATTGAAATATTTTGGGTACACAGATGCTTGTGACTGTTCTTCTCCGTATCTGCCTTCAATGCATTTTTATTTCGTGGTCAGTAGTGCCAGCCAATAATGTACATCAGTTCTCATTTCTCTGAGACAGCCACAGAGCTCTGAATTTACAGAATTCATACAACGAACAAGAACTGCTTGTGGTAACAGTTTTCCAGTTGGAGTAAAGATATTCCATGGCCGGGAGTGTCTTAAAGTGGCCATTGATAGAGAAGCTTTATTCCGTCTCTTCGCAGAAGCGCACATATCTAAATTGAGATCACTTGAAACAAGTCCCTGCCACACTGGGCAGTTAGCCTAAAAAGAAACACTCGGAGAATTCGCAGCCCAGCTGGGCTTGCAAGATGCATCAGGTACCAGATTCGCACAGCCCGAGTTGGCGCTGTAAACTGGCGGGGCCATTTGCATACATGCAAACGTCTTATTTTAACAAATGCTTTCAGAGATGTAGGCCAGGCCTCCCAGTCAAAAAAAAAAAAAGGGAAAGAATTTGAGTCTTCGATTTGGTTCACACTGATGATCTGCCCCACACAGGGGTCCGAGAATATACGAGGTGCTCTCTGTTGAAAGGGCTTCGTAAACTATTCCGCGTTGAGCAGAATTGTGAGGTAGCACTAGTTAGCATTCTGCCTTCACCAGCCCTCGCAAATGCTTCTGTGCAGTGCAATTGCAGCTCTATTCTGAGCACAGCTCACAGAAATCACTTTATTTAGTAACCAAATTACTTCCCTTTTTCCTGTTCTCATAGTAATGATAATGGTTTTTTTTTTTCTCTTTTCTCTTCTTTTTTGGTATGATGCTCTGCTTTCAAAGCTGCTCCTGGCATTGTTGTTTGTCCAATCAGTAGCACAGTGCTCTATTCATCATCACAGAGCAAGGGCCTCTGGACCCAGCGGGCCTTGATTTGTATTTGAATTTATGCACTAGCTCTTTGACCTCGTGCAGATTTCTTGGCCTAATCTTTCTACTTGACAAAATGAGGAGAAGTATATACCATAGGCCATGCAGTTTTAGTTTTAGTTTTAGAGTTACTACTTGGGAGGAATTGTAACACAGGCTGTATGCTCATTATCCACTGACCAGTATCATTATAATCAATTTGCTTTTGCATAATGGCTCTGAAGAGATTCAGCGGTCTATCATTTTCTACTAACTATTCTTCACAGCCAGAGTTAACCAATCCAAGTTGATCTTTGCCAGACACGTCAACCAAGGATTCAGGGGAGGAAAGTGAACACAGTCCAGGGAGGGACTAGGCAGGAGAATGAGAATCGAGTGCGCAACTCTAAGGGCAGGGTTCAGTACCTTAAATAATAAATTTGTTGAGAAGTAAAATATTACACACACACACATTTGTTTTGAAATCTTATTGAAAATAATTGCTAATAGTGAAAAAAGTGTTGTGACTATAACCAAGCAAATTTTGATTTTTCAAATCTCAAAAGATCTGCTGTCGCTACATGGTAGTGACCTCCTTTGCAACAGATGGCTCGGCAGTGAAGAGCACTGCCTGCTCTTCCAAAGGTCCTGAGTTCAATTCCCAGCAACCACATGGTGGCTCATAACCATCTGTAATGAGATCTGGTGCCCTCTTGAGGAAGAGACCGATCAGTCATCCTCATCAACTTAGACCATGAAACCCAATATGGACAAGTTCAACAGAACCGTCATATACGGGCTGCCCATGCGTGCTTCAGCATTGCCAGGGAACACATTTCATTCATTCAGTACAAAACGACAGTGGACCAACTGATCAACCAGAGTAGAGTGTCTGGTCGCTGGTTCTGTCCTTAGGTTAATCTGTCCTGTCTTTAGTCTTGACATGAGTTTGTCCTTTGATGATGAAGAATGTAGTCTTTACATTTTTGAACATTTTTTTCATGTGTTCATGTCAGTGTGTTCATGTACATGTGAGGGTCAGAGAACAATCTTCTTTTTCACATGGTTCGAGGAATCAGCATGCTTCTTCACCCACTGAGCCATCTTGCCCGACCTTAAACACATTTGGGGGGAGGGATTGGGGGAGAAGTACTACTGATTGATCTTCAGCTTGTGTACTTGCTAGGCAAGTGCTCTGCCCCTAAGCTGTGTTCTCCATTCGGGAACTTTAAATCACCTCTCATAAAACCCATACAAAATAGGTACATTTTTTTTTTTAGAAATCGAATTATTTTGATTTGCTCTTTTTGCTATGTCGTCAGCTCAAGAGCTTTTAATCATCTTTCTAAATGCCCACACTAAATCAATGTGCTTTTGTAGAAATGTGATCATTTTTTATTTGTTTGTCGTCTTTATGAACTGAGAATGCAATAAACGGCGGGGGACTAAAGGTTCCAACCCGTTGTGACTTTAAAATGAAACTGGCCTTTTAAATACATGGAGGGACGCGATTTTCTTCAAATGCGGTGTAAGCACAATTGCTGTCTTGCCTACCACTCCCAGGACACAAGGAAAAACGAAAACCTAGGAGACGTCCTGAGGCTTGCTGCCTGGCATGTCACTGTCAGATTGCCTTTAGCAGTTTAAAGCTTCTGGCTTTAAGGGGCCTTCAAGAGGCCTTTGAAAATGGAAATCATCTGTAGCAATAATTTGGCAGACCGCCTTTCCCTCGCTGTACTGCACATCCACCGATAGAAAGGAAGCAGACCTGGGAGGTGGAGAGCCAAGGGAATGGAGGGGAGGGAGCAGGTGCTGATGGGAGAATGCGGGGCTTGATCAGCCTGTATGTCATCTTCTGAGTGGTTTTAATCTATCCCACATGTCTCCATTCAGCTCAGTTGGTTGCAGAAAGACCTCCCTTAGGCTTTATAGTGGGCATTTGTCCTGTGTTCTAACACGTGGCTTCATTCATGAGTTTTCTTCCAGGCCATTTCTTGGGCTCCTTCTTGTGTTCCGTCAGCCCAAACCAAACTGAGTGCCTACTGTGTGCACTGCCGATGTGCTGATAAAGAGAAGTGTCAGTAAAGAGCGCCCTACCCTTCCCCCAATTTCACAAAAAGAATTTGGGTTGTCACTTTCCGAGCCATTTAGGATCTTGCTTTTATGGATGCTCATGGGACCCGAAATGACATGACCTTTTAGTGTGTGTATCTGGCCGAATTCAAGATTGCAAGCCTCTCCTAACTGCGCTACCACTTGGTACTAAAATAATAAGGTGATGCCCATTGAACTAACAGCATTGAGAGGCCTGTTCCATAGCAGTGTGGTTGCCTGGAGCTGGGGAGTTAACAGTGTTTTGATCTGGTCACATGTGGAGTTCCATTTGGTTTTACTGTGTCAGTCAAAAGCCACTGAGAGATGAGAAAGAGGCTGCTCGGGATATCGTCCTTCGGAAGGAAAACCCTTTCCTGACTCAGCATGGCAAAGACTCAGAGTCAGAAGATGAAGCTGCCTGTCGACTGCCTGACCTTGAGAAAGAAGACTTTGCTGCAAGGAGGGCGAGAATGAACCAAAGCAAGCCGATAGTGCCGCTTCATCAGCTCCTGTATGGACCTTACCTGAAAAAAGATGCGGGAGTGACAGGTGGCAACAAGCAGCTCTCAAAGGGACCGTCAGACAAGAAAAATCTAGAATATAAAAGGTGTGCATTCCGTATGCGTGTAAATGAGAAGATCATAACGAAGCGTGGATGATCTGTACGCGGTCCCCATCCCTCTCTTCAGCCCCTGGTGTTGTAAGTTCACATCACTAGCCACCTAGACATGTTCAGCTGCCCTTCAGAGAACAAGCAACACTCCAGAATGCTCCACTGCATTCAAAGGGGGCAGAAACAGCTGTGACCTTCCTGTTAGTCCCTTGGCTTAGCAGCGTTTTAGACAGAAAGAGAAAAACAAAGCTTGTTCTTTTGTCTCACGCAGGCAAGATTGCTAGGACAAATTAATGGTGGAAATTTCTCATCGGAATGAAAGCAGGGGCTAGATAGATGTGTCCGTAGGTACAGTGCCTATCGTGCAAGTTTAATAACTGGAGTTCAGATTCCCGGCACCCACACAGAATCCCAGATGCAGTAGCCCAAGTGTCTGGGATCCCAGTGCAGTCCTGTCTCCCAGGTAACAAGAGATGGAGAAAAGAGAAATGTCAAAGCTTACAAGGCAGCTAGCCTAGCATAGAGCAGTAAAGAAGAGAGGGTCTCAGAAAGGGAGAAGGGGAGGCTCAGCATCTGAGGATGTCCACTGGCCTCCACATGTGTGTCAAGGCACATGAACAAATGCAGTCACACACATGGACACGCACATCACGTATGCATACATACGTACAGGCATGTGTGCCTGCACACTCACATGTGTGCACGTGTGCTTACACATACACCTACACACACCATATACACCTCTCCTCTGATATATAACATACTTCCATGGGTACAGAAATTATTCTCAAGTGAATTTTCTAGTCTCATCTTTCTCCCATCATCTTAGTTTAAATGGCCCCAAATCCAAAACTGTTTCAAGACTGACATACCACAAGTGGGAAGCCCCATACCTGACGTCACATGACAGGTCACAGTCAGAATGCAGGTGCACTAAAAACACTGTATGCGTGTCACCAAGTGCGATTTGACTAGTGAGTTTTGTACCAAGACAGGTGACAACAGCCAAGGTATCTACATACAGAATTTCACCCTGCAAAATGTGCCATCTTGTGGGTTTTCCTAATATCAAAATCATAATTCACATCTTAATATTTTTCTGCCCATCATTTTAGAGAGTTGAAGTCTGTGGAACTAAGAATATGATTATCTCTCTTGCACTTCATTGAATTAAAAGCCAATATATAAGCAAAACAATTGAACTTGGTAAACAGCTGGTGTTCGTTGTTCTATGTATTTTGCTTTCCTTTGGACGTAGGGTTTTGTGTAGCCCAGGCTAGGACCTGGAACTTGCAAGCTGAGGGAGGCTAGCCTTGAACTCCTATCCCTCCTGTCTCTGTCTCCCAGATGCTAGGATTACAGATGGATGTGTACCGCTTTGCTTGGTACACACACAGAAGACACAGTATGAGGGGCTGTCTAAGTATATGTATGGTTGGTGGAGTTTTAGCTTAAATTACATTTGTCAACCTGCATTTAACTTAGTAGAACAATTGAGAATATCAGAAAGGTCAATATTTGCTACCCAGAGAGGAGAGTGTGTGCTCTCTCTTCTTCATGCTTAGAGAAGCCAGCCAAGACTGGTGCTCTGGTACAAAGGTGAGGCTGAATATTGAAACTTTCTGTTCAGAATCAGCTTAAATGTACTCCCTGGCCATTGGGGGTTTCACATCCAAACCATGTTCCAGCTATCTCTAAGATGATCCTAGCGTTTGGATCATGCCAAGCTCATTACTGACATTTACTGACACCGTAAAAAACATTCTGAGAGGGCTGAGAGAGTCTATCAGAAAATTCAGATTCATTATGGTGGCTTGAATAGTGTGGGAATTAGGCATCATTACTGCCAACCTGAAATCTCCTAACCATCCTCAGCAGTCTTTTAGCCAGCCCTGGCTCTCCTTCCTAGACAAGCTAGAGACCATCACAGATGGAAGAAAAGAATATGCCTCATTCCAGTATTAAAGGGTAGCAAGAGGGCTGGAGATATAACTCAGGGATAGAGCCCTTGCCCAGCATGCGCAGGCCACCAGGACCCATCCTGTGATGGTGCTCACAGCTCTGGTCATCCCATGCTTTTGAGAAGGAAAAGGATGTTCCTGTCCTTTCACTCTTCCCTCAGCCTCTAAGTTCCCATGCTTGACATTCTGTTTGTCTGCTCCCCTTCCTCGAACTTGGCTTTTCCAATGATGAGGGGGCCTGAATCAAATCAACAGAGACCAGAACCAACCAGAAGAGGTGAACCCAGTAGTGGCCTGTGTTCTGAGAACTCAGGAAAGCGAACCAGTGGAAACAAATTTCAGGAAGGCACCAGATCTCCAGAAGGACGACCTGGCCCAGAGGAGAATCCAGGGCAGGCAAACCCCACATCGCGAGGCTCCGAGCTTCATCAAACTCTCCAGTATTACAGAAGCTGACCTGGAGACATGGGAGAGATTGAAAGTGTCAGAAAAGACGAGGTGTGTCATGGTTTTACCCCCGATCATGGTAGGAATTACCATTCAGAGAATTGAGCAATAATCAAGGTTTCATTTTCTATTTTGATGGCTGCCAAGAGTGCCTCTCACAACACAGAACGTCTGGAAGTGAGCACGTTCTGCGTGAGAGAAAACATTAATACTAAAAGCCACGTTTGCGGAAAACGGCCTCTTTATCCAGCTGACTTCCTAAGAGTGGTTATTTATTCTCCTAAACTTGCTTACTGTAAAGAATTTCAACTTGATTTTTGAATAACTAGCCGTTGCACTGTGCCTACAGTTTTCTTATGCTATCAATTCTGGTGTTGGAATTAATGCTTTGAGAACACTAGAATCTTAAAGCTCTATGTACCGAGGCAAGAACAGTGATCAGCTGCTCCTCATTTGAGTGGTTGATGGGGGTGCCGTTGTTTTCCAGCCATGGTAATAGGCTTCATGTATCTGGTTTTGTCTTCTCAACTTCATCTTCATTTGCCCTTGCCTTGGAATCCCCTGGAACTGATTTCTGGTTCTGACCAGGGATGGAGATGCTCAGAACACCTGTACCCCTGAGCCCTCACTGGAAATCAACGCAGAGACTGCCATCCGAGATGACTTGGCCAGCCGTAAAGCAAGGGCCTATAAGAAAGCCTCCAGCCCTGGGCAAAAGTTTGTACACTTTGGGCCCGTGACAGAAATAGACCAACAAACTTGGAAGCGGCTCAGCATTGGCAAGGCGGGGCCTAGGGACGATGCAAAGGCTGTCGGTCACAGTCCCTCTGTGTCGCCTCCTCCTGCTGCTCCTTATGGCTTAAAGGATGACCGAATGCTTAGTCCACAGAATGGCTGCAGGTATTTCTTTTCCTCCTGTGTAAGGAGGTCTGCATGGGGGCCAAACGCTGCTTTTTAAAGTTGTCTGCTCTGGTGACAGAGCTCTGGGGGTAGAGTAGGGCATTTGCTTAGCGTGTGCTAGATCCCAACACCAAAGCAAAACAAAATAAGATGAAACAAAACCAACCAAGCAGCAAACTAAGTGCCAAGAGTTTGATGAGCTGCGTTACACGAACCTGTAGGGATGAAATAACTTTGGCAGACTCTTCCACAGACCAGCAGAAAAGCAGTATTGGTGTCCATCACTGGGGAAGGTGTCCATCACGTGCGTGAAGGTAAATGGCAGGTGTCTATTTCCAGTCTGTAGTCATGGCAGTCAGTACCCGAGAGGGCCAGTAATCTCCGCAGACATCCCTTTTGGCCTAACCACTGAGTGCCAATGTATTAGTTGAACAACTTGAAAGAATTAGGTAGACCATCATAACGACACTGCCTGCCTGTATTCTAAATACATAAAACCTGACGGATGTAACAACACCCCTCTCCCGCCCACAGTTACAAGGTACCTGTCACCATCATGAACTCAGCATTGCGCATGCCAGTAGGCCCATTCAAAGGGGGCTCCCTCTTCCCCTAAGCTTCCAAAGTCTCTAGTAAATCATGACTGGAACAAGATTCTGCTTTCCCCTTCCCCAGAGGCCACATGAAGCCTTGATCTGGGGTTTCAGGCCTATCCTCTGGTCTCCCGTCTCTTAGGCAGAAGTAGAACATCTGTAGTTATCTGCTTCTCCTTGAACCTCCATCTCACCTGCTTGCTAGGAGCCATGCAAGGTCCTTCATAGGGGAAGAAAACATAGCATTTCTCTGAATGCCTTGTCCTTGAGACCACAGGAGGTGGGAAGGTGGTCTATGACCTGTAGGGCCACTTCTTACGAACACATGGTGAGGCTTCAGGGTTTCCGTGTCTGGGAGAAGGAGGCCGCATGTGAAAGGCAGCCTTGAGTCCTCAGGCACAAGGGCCATTGAACAGTCCCGCAGTGAGCTGGCCACACCAGGCACCCTCAGTGTGTTTTAGGCCTTTGGAGGACTCACATGCTACCATCTAAATCTGACTGCGTCACCTTTACTAACTGGCCCGTGGAATGACCGCTGAGGATCTCTCTCAGTCTTCCTTCATAACCCTCTTCCTTTTGCCTCCTGTCGCAAGTGTAAACACTAGGTTAGTGCGTTATGGCACAGAGGACCGTCTCCAAAAGGTCCCTTGGCTGGCACCAGTGCCGGAGTCTCAGGAAGAGCAGGTCTGCATTCCAAGCGATAACCCAGAGACAGAGGAAGGTGAGGTCCAGCATGTCCCGCTTCCCAGAGGTGATGGGGACAGGCGAGCAGGCTTTGAGGGAAGCTTTTTTTCCATAACCAAACTGTCCTCTTTGGCTCTAGTTACACCCACACAGCTGCCACAGGGTGGCAGAGAACAAAATGAAGAAGTTATTAAAAAAGAACCTGAGATGCTGCCAAGAGGGAAAAGACCAGAGGAATGCAGCGGACCGCTGTGAGCCTCCTGCCTGCGTTATCTGTGGTGCTGCCTCGGCTGTGCCTGGCTGGTGTGTGCCTAGATAAGAGCTGAGCATCCCTGTGTGCCCTTGGTGACTGAGTCAGTAGGGAGTAAAGTCACTTGAAGCAAGGATGTGCCTATCTATACTAGGATTGGAGTTCTGCTTCTGGATGGAGATGTTAGCCTTTGCATGTGGCTGGGGACTGGCTTGATTCCCTCCTTGACGATTGTGAAAAGTGGAATGGGAACCTTTTCCAAGTCCCAGCTGGGTGACAGGGGCCTCACTGAATGAAAAGGGGGATTTCCTATGCAGCTGCTCCATCTTCACACACTTGTGTCTTGATTACTGTCAGTGAGTGACGCTGTTGAATTCCTTTAGCAGTAAATGGGCTCTAACTGGCTGGACCAAATGTTGCCCTGAAGCATGTCCTCTGGCCTCCGAGTGGGGGCTGTTGGGAACCAAAGCGGAGTTGGGAAAAGAAAACAGCTCCTTCCCGGAGTGACTGTGGACTGAAAGGCCAGAACAAGATGGCTGATTCCCGAAAAGACACCATGATGGACCAGGAGAACTGGTGTGCTCCTTAGCAGCTTAGATACAAACCAGTCCAGTTCCTTGTGCACAGCAACAAGAACTGTAGGACTCTGCCAAGGGTGTACCCAGAAAAGAGCAGCAGGAAGTGTAAGACTCTGCCGAGGGTGTACCCAGGACCAATCAGAGGTCAGGTGCCCTTGGGACTCTCTTTCTCCAATCAGGGCCTTGGCACATGCTTTGAGTGTATTACTAATGCATCCTGGTGTGTCAGAGCAACTTACTGCTTCTGCTAGTGGCAATGGAGTGATTGACACTGGCCCAATTGGTTCCGAGTGTTCCTCCCTTTTGCATGTAAGCGTGCGTGAAGAAAGAGTAGCTGAATAATGAGTTTACACATTAACCTTTCCTTTTTATTTTCATCTGTGGGCAGATAGTGAAAAACTTGATTCTTCCTGGCTCACAGAGGAGACTTTGGCAGAAGGGTCAGACATCTTTATAACTTACTTGATTTTATAAATTTCAGACCAAAGAAGACAAACATTTATAACACTTGAAATGTTTTCAACATTAGCCAACTTCACTGCCATCTGGTGGCAGGAATTCTATTGCACTTTCTTTCTTTCTTTCTATTTTATTTTATTTTTATTGAGCTCTACATTTTTCTCTGCTCCCCTTCCTATCTCTCCCCTCCCCTTCAACCCTCTCCCAAGGTTCCCATGCTCCAAATTTACTCAGGAGATCTTGTCTTTTTTTCTACTTCCCATGTAGATTAGATCTTAGTGTCCTCATTGTTGTCTAGGTTCTCTGGGATTGTGATTTGTAGGGTGGTTTTCTTTGCTTTATGTCTAAAAACCACTTATGAGTGAGTACATATAATAATTGTCTTTCTGTGTCTGGGTTACCTCACTCAAAATGATGTTTTCTAGTTTCATGCCAGTAGGGTCAAAGAACAGCCTGTAGGAGCTGGGTCTTCTACCATGTCAGTTTAAAAAATTAAAAACAAAACCCTCAGGTCATCAGGCTTGGTGGCAAGCCCCTCTACCTGCTGAGCCACGTCCTGGCCCTTGGCATGCTTCTTGATTGAGCCAACCCACACTCTGACAATTCGTGCTTCCTTTTAACAAAGGTTTACTGAGTGTTACTATGTGCGAAGCCTGAGTCTGAGTGCACATCCTAGGTGAGTGGGGGAATCGTGGTCAGCTCTCACTTCAAGTCAGTTTGGAGTACAGGGGTCTCACACTGGATAATTGTGGGATTCTGGGCAGCTTTGTTAGTGCCAGGAGTGGTAAAAACATGATCAGTCAGTATATGGCTTGTTTCTCTTACCCCTGCAGACAGCCCTGTCCTGGACTGGAGCTTCGTTAATTGACTCCAAGGCTCTTGCAGCTGTCAGTTCTGTATCCTGCAGCCTACTGGCTCTGCTGCTTTGCATTTAAGAATTTCCTTATGGGGGAAGGAGCTGTTTGATAAGTGAAAAAGCCCCTTACAGCCCAAGTGCTAATTATCTTCCCCTTACCCAAAGGCAGTTTTACCTACATCTGTGCCCTTTTAACACTAACGAGTTAGCCAGGGGAAATTCCTTAGATCCATATAAAGCAAGGTAGGTGATCTTCAGGGCCTGTGCTGTTCCTTCAGGTGTCCAAAATACCCCTCAAGGGACTCCTCTGGCCAGTGAGGAGAGAAGACAATCGGGCGACTTCCTGCATAGTGAGACAGGATTTGGTAGGCATCTGTTTATCTGCAGAGCTGTCCACGAATGCTGTTAATTGTTCCGCGAAGAAACAGTTGAAATTCCGGTACATCCCAAAGCTAACGCTGTAGAAGTCCTAGCTAGGACTTGGCTGTGTGTGCACACATCCACTGTCTGCCTTTTGCTGTCCTTGAGTCAGATGGTAATTAGACTTCCAAATAGTGATGCGAAACCAACTGCTCGTCAGTTATTTCCCCATTAATCATGCTTCAAGAGCAACTTGTCTTTTAAAGACAGTTTAGCAAGCTCCACGTTTGGATGTGTGTATTTTAAGACCTTTTACTGATTGGAAACCAGGTCCCCAGGCTTCAGGATGGGTTCTGCTCATGCTGGTGGGGAGGGATCCCTCACCACTTGCTTTGCGGTTGTGACATTTGGGGCACACAGACTCTTACTTCAACCAGCACCTCCTGGGAGTGCCCCTGAAGAAGAGGGTGAGCCTTCCGTCAGCAGAAGCGGCGCCTCACAGCCCTTTCCTTGGCTCGCTTGTGGCCATTCCAACAGAAATCTGGGGTTTTACCCACATACGGGTTGTCTTCCCTGTGGACAAAATAATAATTGTCAATAAATTAAAATGTTCTAGAATGATAAAAGTTGAAGAAGTGTGTGTGTGTGTGTGTGTGTGTGTGTGTGTGTGTGTGTGTGCATTGTGGGGTAATTTCTCCAGAGTTATAAGACAAAACCCTGATAGGCTATTAATCGTGGAACAAGGTAATGTTTTGCTGGAATTGAGATATGATTTCTGGGAAGCTAGAAGCAGGATAGATTCACCTTACAGCTGCAATTCTTTTTCCACATTCAGAATGCCGAAGTGAGTAGCCTGTCAGGGACAGAAAAGGACTCTCATCCTTGCTGAAGGGACACTTTTCTGGAGTTGTTGTTTCAGAAGTGTGCTTCCTTACAGTGATGTTCTCTTTTTGAAGTCCGCATCCGTTCCGCTGAGTAGATACATTTAAACCTAACATATCACAGAGGATACAGCTTTATAAACCCAAATTATCAGAAGAATAGAAAAGTTTAGGAAACCTTTGCTCTTCCCAGTTATGGGTTAGCCTCCGTCTGGTTTCCATTATGACTACCCGTTTTCTAGGAACTGTGGTTTCTGTCAGCTGCAGAGGAGAGGTACTGATCGGGGTTCTGACTGAAGTTCTGCTTCACTCTTAGGAAACTGTAGAATAGTCTTTGATGTTGTCTGTGCTGATGCGTCAACACATCAGGTCGGCTGAGTGGGGTGGTGTGTGTTGTGTGTCTGTTACAGTCCATCACCACCAGCACAGAGACCTGGGCAGTCTGCAAGCAGCTGTCGTGTGTGTGTGTGTGTGTGTGTGTGTGTGTGTGTGTGTGTGTGTGTGTTTTAAGCTGCTTTGCCCAAGCACCATGGCTTCCACCTAAACCACTTTGTGTTTACATTGGACAGAGTTTTTCTTTGTGGTCAGCATGGGATTATTTGATTTCTCTTCTGGGTCTTAACACAAATTCTATACTCTTTGGAAACGTCAAGGCTTGACTTTTTCAGTAGCTAATGAATATTGCTAATTGCGTAATGACCTTTCTCTGTCAGCATGGTCAGCGAAAGAGGTTTTGTACACGTGGGTCGATGTTTTTTTGTTTTTCAGGTTGGTTGCGTCATCCACTCCCTGCCAGTCCTCTAACTTTTTTATTTGATCTTGTAGATACGGTCCGAGAACTCCTGTGTCGGATGACGCAGAGTAAGTGGCATCACATCCGTAGGGATTACATTAATCGCTAGCCTTAACTGCAAGCTTCCAGTACTTACCACTAATTGGCATGCCCCAGATGCCGCAGAGAGCTGCAAAGTGAGCCCCAGGCCCCAGCAGAGCATGTGGGGCCATGAGGCAGAACGTGTTCTGTGCAGGGAAGAGGAGTGAGGAGGCAACTTAAGCATGATGCTAATGTCCAGTCGGTGCTTCAGCTTTTCTTCTCATTTTTCATAGCTCAGCATGCTCAAGCTGCTCTCAGGAGCTGAACTTTGGTGCCCTTCCTCAACTAGGAAGTCCTGGGACTATTGGGATTAGGAAAGGGCTGTCTTGAGTTTTGCAGTTTAACTCCTAATGCGCTGGGGCTTAGCATAAACAATGAAGTAGTCATGCCTGCGGTCACATTTCCCCCCCAAAACTAAGAAAATAAATCCTAACCACTAATTATAGATTCAAAAGCCCAAGTTCCTACCAGGTTGGAGTCATAGGAACTGTGCGATGCTTAAGACCCAAACATTGGGGTTTTGTTCAAGTTCCCCAGCATAGCAAGGGGTCAAGAGTATAAAACAGGACCTGGGTTCCTCCCTGCCACTTGCTTTTCCTCCCACACAGAGGTCTCTTTCCCACTCAGCCCCTCACATACCCAGTTTGAGAAGAATCTCAGATGTTCCATCTGTGACCTTATAAATTCTGTCCCAACACTGGATTTCCTGTGAGCAGATCATTCTGCGCCAGATATACAGAGTTTTCTAGAATAATATTCTTCTCAGGTCTGAGTAATTGGTCCTTTAACGATCAGGATTTAATCTGTCATACCAACATCCCATTACACAAAGGTGTGTGTGTCCTGACAGAGACAAGGCCATCCCTGGAGGGATGAGCGCTGCCTGTTCTCCTTGGCCAAGGTTCACGTCATAGAAAGGAGTTTGAGCCGGGGAGTAGAACCTACAGAGGTCGTTTCCACCAATGACACAATAATGGTATTTAAGCAGAAGGGGGACTTTAAACAATGTTTCGCATCATGCTTTTCCTGTTTGTGTTGAAGATAGCAGCCTAGGTTAGGCTCTCAGCCCTAGCCATTCCTGTTCCATCCCCAAGTTCTGATGGGCAATCTAGAACTCTTTGGTTATCTGGGAGACAGAACCTTCCTGCCTCCGAAATGAAATTCAGTCCGTGCTCGACTGACTGCCAGGGGAGCGAGGCAGTCTGTAAAACTGAGGCCTGAACCCGCAGTGGCAACATTTAAGATCCCTGACAGGAGGAGGCCGTGAGATTGACAGATGAAACAAACACTCCTCTGACAGGGCGGACAGCAACATTGTGACAGAGTGGAGTTAATCTTCACCAAGGCCAAGCAGGGTGCAGTTTGCCCAAAGTAGATCTTGGGAAAACCTAAAAGGTGAAGGGACAGAAGCTACGCTCAGAGGGCTCTAGATCTTCCCCCACTCCTGCCTCTGAGAAACTTGGCGACTGTTTAAAGGGACGGGGCTCAGGGCTCCCTTCTCCGGTGTTTATAAAAACTGTCCCTGTGGACCAGGAAGAGGTCAAGGGCCTTCTTGTCCAGAGGTTTGATTTGAGAATATACAAAGTACCAAATTAACTGCTTAGAGCAGACATGGTTGCCGTTCATTTTTAAAATAGAGACGTATACTGATCTTACTTCCCGCTCCCTTTTCCAAACCCTTTAAAGCCATAAACTACACTTATTACTAATTGACGCATTCTTAAGATCCAGCCCAATCAAAAGACAGTGTCCTGATAAAACATGAGTCAGGGTCAATTCTACCATAGAGATAGCGAAATCTGTACCTTCCGGCCAGTCGAGAACATCTCTGTAAGTTTAGCTTAACCTTCTCCCGGTTCTCCTCAGCCTGACACATTTCTTCTCTCAGCGTGACTCCGCCAGAGGAGCCTACCTCTTGGGAATGCCATGAGGCCTTTGATTCTGAATTTTCTCATCTCAGACTTGCCTCAGAAACCATTTCCAAGTGGCACTAGAGGAAGGATAATTCCTCAGAAATGTTAGCTTGCTCCCAACTGAGTCTTGGGCTCTACAGCCAGCAGCCAGCTTGCATCCCAAGAGCCAGGACATGAGCGTTGGTGCTGAGGGCAGGTGCAGTCCCAGCCACAATGTTCAGGAGGCTGGGTTTCCCCAGGGCTCCTCACCCCATCTCGTCCCGCTCCATACCCAGACCCACACTTCTTCATTCAGAAGTGAAGTTCAACCTCTGAACTGAAGAAGGCTTTCTAAGTAGTGACTCAGCCCATTTTCTGTATTGTCAATTTTCAACTTTTTCAGTTCCTTTTTTTAAAAAAAATGACAAAATGTTACAATTTTGCTGTTTTCTTTTTTAGCAAGTTGTTGGTATTTCTTTAAACACACACACACACACTATGGGGTGGAGAGGCAGGGATAGTACTTCCTGCTATAGGAGAGGGCAAGCAAGAGTTTCACTTAATTATCTGGCCTTTGGCCACCCTTGGGCTGAGGTGAGTCAGAGCCTAATAAATCAAGGCTGAGGAAGGCAGCTGTGGAAGCCTCCATGTGAGTGGCTGAATCCCACACCTTGGAGAAGCCAACTGCTTGCTTCCCACCACTGCAGAGGCCTCTGCCTAGCCGCCTACTATGACCAACTCGGAATTCTGTCCTTTAGAGCTCACAGGCAGAAATGCTGGGGCCGCTTCTTTCTCCCCAACCTGTTAACTGCTTAGTGTGTAAGGTACTCAGCTCAGAGATACACCCAAAGGCTTTAGTAGAAACTGGAATTTGCCTTTAAAATAACTGACTGGATTGGATAGTTTAAAGGTAAAATTCCCCCCCCTTACTATAAAGTGTATGAGTTTCTGTCTATTTCTAGAAGGCCTACTTATGTGATTTTTTTCTTTTTTTTTTTTCTTTTTTTTTTTTTTGGTGCCTCTCCTGGAACTAGCGCTTGTAGACCAGGCTGGTGTTGAACTCACAGAGATCCGCCTGCCTCTGCCTCCCAAGTGCTGGGATTAAGATGTGTGCCATCACTGCCTGGTTGTGAATTTTTATCTTAAAGTTAAAACAACAACAACAACATTCTACTTAACCCTGTAAATTCCTGAGCCTTTCTTAATGCTAATAAATAGGGTAAAGAGATTAAAAAAAAAAAAAGATCCCAGCCCCTTCCCCTTTGAGGGGAAGTTTTGGTTTTCCCTGCAAGGCCCAGCTTTGGAAGCCAGCAGTCCTGGGAGAGCTGGCCAAAGCAGCTTCCCACTGTGCTAAGTCACCCCTGGACTGACAGACCCCTCAGATTCAAAAACAAGTCTCTGCAGTGGAGTCCCAGAACACTCTGGAGAAGATGGTCTTTGAGTCCAAGGTCTCGGGTTAGATTTCAGATGTCCAGCAGCCGGAGAAAGGGTCGAGGCACCCGGCCGTCCATGCAGATTCACCCCACGGGGCTGCCGCCCTTTGTGTCTCTGAAGGTGTCTGGAATCAGTTGCCAAGCGCATGGCTTCCTTGTTTTTTTCTGGACATTAAGCTGGCTTTAAAAATGGTTTACCACCATCTTCTACAGCTAGGGGGCTTGCAAGGTTTCTCCGTGACCTCTTGCGGATGCAGTCCATGCTATCCTTTTGGTTTTAAGAGCTTATCATTTCTTTAAGGGGCGCGGGGAGGAGGGTTTTGCTTTGGTCTCTACTTCCGCGTTCTCCTGCTGCTCCAATGCTTGCTCTTCACAGGTCCGTTGAGGTCTGTGGTCTTAGTAAATTGCCGACAGAGTCTATCAGCGGCATGCACAGCCAAAAGGTTTGCTTGTCTTCATTGCCTGCCCTTTCCCTTCGAAAGTAAATTAAAAATATCCTGGCAAAAATAAACCAAAGTGATTGTGAACACATTAGGGTGCAAAGTGTACCCTGCTTTATATTTTTATCCCGTACTCGTATTACAAAATGCCTTATTTTCTTGATTCCAAGATTACTATCAATTACATAATTGTATAGAAAAGAAAAAGAAATAACCACAACATGCCAGCATCGATTTAAATATGCAACAGTGGGTGTCTTAATCTCGAGGCCCTATCCTTTTATTTTTGAAAGTGAAGAATTGTCTATGGGCATGTAGATCAGTCAGGCGAGCCATCTCTTTTCACCTCGAAGTGTAGTGAAGTTCTGCTGGAATGGAATTTAGTGATGAAATGTGCCTGTGCCCACAAATTTTCCCTAAATTTTATACCTTTAAATGAGAAGAGTGCGGGCCTTCAGATGCTTTCTCCTATCCCCTTTTTTGGCACCGTTTTAGCAAGTTTTTTAGACAGCTGCCCAGTTCAGGGCCATCAATGAGGACAAAGACATCCCCTCTAGGCTGTGCTGCTGGTGGCTGCTTCCCGCTGCGAAGTGAAGAGGCGGCTCTCAGCCCGGTAGCGCCCCCAGGCGGCGATGCGCAGTAGCGACAGGAGCCTGCCGCCCGCGCTCATCCAGCTTGCTTTTTGTTTTTGCTCTCTCCATATCAGGAGCACGAGTATGTTTGACATGCGGTGTGAGGAGGAGGCAGCGGTGCTGCCGCACAGCAGGGCCCGCCAGGAGCAGCTGCAGCTGATAAATAACCAGCTGAAGGAAGAGGACGACAAATGGCAAGATGTGAGTTCGGGCCAAAGCCGCGGGTTGTTGGGGAGGGACTCAGCCGACCACCGGGCTGGGAGGGTAGACTTCAAAGCCCTGCTGGGGAGGGCCGCCCCAGCCTTGCAGACAGAGACCTCCTTGCCAGGGATTAAAGGAGGGGTCTGTAGGAACGCAGAGAGAGGAGGAACTGGCCCTGGTGTGTATGTATCAGCAGGTACTCTGGACCAAAGCTTGGTCACAAAGAGAAAGGGTGAGAGGCAGGCAACTAGGGTAAGCACAGAGCCGTGCTGCCTTTTAATATTCTGTACTTAAGACTGATGGACGATTACGATGACTGCAACTGTCAGCGTTTATTGTACCAGTAGCAGGCACTGTTCTAAATGCTTTGCTCTGGGTAATTCATCCAACCGTTTAGTAGCTCAGTGTGCTAAAAATGGTTAGCTCCCAGCACCCACAGATGTAATCCCAGCCCAGCTAAGTCACCACCGAAGTTCCATAGCTAGTGAGTAGAGAAGCAAGACTCAAACCAGGGAAAGAAGGTGCCAGAGGCTGGCCAGAGCTTAGAAGTGGTGTGCCGAGAGCCAAGAGCTTCAGCAGGAAGGAGAGGGGATCATTGTATTTGCTTCTCACAGAGCAGGTAGGTCACTATTGCAAACCTGACTCCAGCATTAGTCAAAAAGTTAATTTCTCCAAGTTGGCACAGTGTAATGACAATATGTCTACGTGTCTAGCACCTACGTGTGTCATCACATCGAACCCCAGGACTTATGAGCAGAGTTGGAACAACCACCCCCATTATAGGGAAGATGCAAAGCCTTCAGAGAGGCGAGGAAACACAGGCAATGCATGAGCAAGATAGAGCCAGGCTGTTTCCCTCAGCTCCAGCTTGTCCCGGTGACCCAGCAGCCTCGCCGTTGTGCCGGAAGCACCTGTAGGACAGGTCTCGGCCACTCCTGAGGACAAGAGGAATTCACACATATAGAAATAGGTGGATCTGTAAGACTCATCTCCAGAGCCACATTTTTCAGCCCTTCCTGCCAGCAGGAGAAAACTGTACCGGAGTCCCTACCATTCTGTTGCCAGGGTATCTATTCCCAATACAGATAGCCCAACGTGATTATTACCTTGTAAGACGGTTCTCTCAAATTTGCCAAGCAACGTAAGGTGTGATTGTGTCAGTCACACCCCAGTGTTTCAGTAAATTGCTGCCCTGTTAGTGATGGTGAGCACACTTCCTGTTCCTTTCCCGGCCTTCCAGGCATCCTTGTTCCAACCAGACCTTCATGGGACCGTGGGGAAGTATCCCAGCTGACAGGTCTGTGAGTCACTGAAAGGGAATTCTGAACATGGCATCTCTCCCCCCCCCCCCCCCCCAGGACCTGGCTCGCTGGAAGAGCCGTAGAAGAAGTGCTTCTCAGGACTTAATCAAGAAAGAGGAAGAAAGGAAAAAAATGGAGAAGTTGATGTCCGGAGAAGACGGGACAAGCGAACGAAGGAAAAGCATCAAGACTTACAGAGAGATTGTGCAAGAAAAGTGGGTCTCTCTGTTGTTAGGGTGTCAGAGTATCCAGTTACGCATTTTCTAAGCATAGCCTTTGCTATCCCAAAAGCTCCAACGCTACTATTTCTAGTTTGGTTTTACTCTACCGTGGTGGGAATCTTTGCAGCTTTCCCGGATGTTCACTGCTCTTCTTCCCCTGTCCCATCCTGCAGAGAGCGGAGAGAGAGGGAGCTGCATGAGGCCTATAAGAATGCACGGTCGCAGGAGGAGGCCGAAGGGATCCTCCAGCAGTACATCGAGAGGTTCACCATCAGCGAGGCTGTGCTTGAACGCTTGGAGATGCCAAAAATCCTGGAAAGAAGCCATTCAGCAGAGCCAAACCTATCCTCCGTCCCGAATGACCCCAGCCCCATGAAATACTTGAGGCAGCAATCACTGCCTCCACCCAAGTTCACTGCCACAGTTGAAGCCACCATTGCTCGCGCCGGTGCCCCAGAGACCAGCGCAGCAGGCGGCAGTGGGTCTCCAAGCAAATCCGTCCCTCCCAGTGCAGTGCCTATGGTGACACCCAAGCCTTACACCCAGCCCAAAGCCTCTCAAGAGGTTCTGAAGACTTTTAAGGTAGGATGAGTTCTTTGAGAGGCAAATGGGAAGCGAACTCTGGGTAGTTTGTGGAAAGAAGCCTTCTGACTCAAAAATATGCAATAATTTTTATCAAACAAAAGCCAAACACACTTAACACGGACAATAGTACTTCTATATTTCAGGAGATTTGGTTCGCAGATCCTTAAGGGTTGGGCATAGCTCTCAGTACTCTCATAGTTCTCTTGGTGAACTCACTGTGACTGACAAGGCTTCTCCCTAAGCAAGGCCTCTTTCCTGGCTTGTTGATGATGTGGTTTCTCTTAGAGCAGTGTAAGCAAAGCCTAATTTAGCAGTATTCCATGCCTGTGGATGCATGGAAAACTCAAAGTGTATTTCCTTTTACTTTAAACAGAAAAACAGACAGCTACATTTTAAGGAAGAAGTTGACACTATAGCCAAAGAGTTGCTGCCCTTGGGGGAAATAACACATGGGACACATGGTAGTGTGGGGTGTGTTCATCATCAGACAAGACAAAGTTTTTCTTGAGCAGAAAGAGCATATAAAAATCATTTTCAAGAACCAAAGACTCTTTGGCAACAAACATATTTTCCCTTGCTCCTATTCCAGTGTCCACCTATATTATGGGGGAGCATTAATCCTCTACCTCAGGCTCCTTCGACTCCAAAGACCAGTCAGTGCACATTGTCCTTGCACGCTCCATGAGTTTTGTAATAGGTGTCAAAGATGGAGTTCTTCCCTGGGAGTTGGTGCCATTCTGGTTGGTGAGAAGTTTGCATAACTCAGCTGACCGAGAGTGAATACAGGGGGCTGGCTTCATTACCAGACTTCAGAGAGACCCCAAGTCTACCTTCTGACTTGGGTTGAAATAAATCTAATTATCTAAATATATCTTTAGAATCTGTATTTTAAAGTTGACTTGAGAGGCCCAAACCTACCTTCTGATTTAGGTTTAAATAAATCTAAATAAATCTTTTAAATCTGTATCTTTAAAGCTTTGCTAGCAAAAAAACAATGAATGTCTGGCCATTTCATTCAGACTGAATTAAAATATTTGCTCCTTACAGGGTAAAAACTCTTTATTTTACATGGCTCCATCCTAAGAGCCTGGCATAGATACCCAAGACATAGTAGGCAGTCCGCAAAAGTGAATAACTTAATTCTTCCTGAGATTAGCCATAGAAGTTGAAAATTATTTACGAAATAGTTGTGTGTGTGTTTGTGTGTATGTACACATGTGTGTCTAGCAGTCTCCTCAGTGGTCCAAATATTTGAGTTCCTTCACCTGGAGCCAAATGATGGGTGGTGTAACATTCCATGGAAGCATTATATTGAGATGGCCCAGAAGAGTGGGAATACATTATATATTAATGTATTATGTGTATTATTATATATCCACTTCCCTCATCGCTGTAAATGGTACAACATGGCCACATAATGGGGAAGGTAGAAGAATTTATGACACAAGTTAGGCTCTGAAAACCTTGTCATTTTTGTATGCTAGCCTGTCTCTCCTTCACTGTGTGTATGGGTCAGTGGGAGGGCATGTGCCTATAACAGGAAGACACTTTCTTAAGAATAAGTAAACAGTCATTGTCAAAGTCACTTATAAATAGGACAGTTGTTACTAGGTTAGAGAGGCGGGGCAGCTTAGAAAAGTGTGCATACATATGTGTGTGCACACAACAGCAAGACCCTTTCTCAAAATAAAGGAATAAATAATCTGTAGCTTATTTTTTAGGGAAAAAAGAATAAAGGAAGATCAAATGATGCAATTCAAGCATTGGTTTTTCAAAAACAATCTTGTTATTGTCGATTCAGTGGTTTAGAATCATCTTAAAAAGTGAAGTGGACACAAGTCCAATAGGAAAAGCCACACGGGTCACAATAAAGATAAGCATACCGTTTCTCTGTCTCCACTCACGCATGTGTGCTGAGTTGTGTCGTAAATTCTCATAGCTGCCAGGTAATAAAGTATGATGGCCAGGTTTAGCCCAAGGTAAGCTAACGCAGCTAACGTCCGACCTTGTGTTGTTTCTTTGAAAAGATTTTAGAAGACCTTCTAAGACTAGCCAGCAGTGTGTGAGGCGTTGCTCCAAGTTCTAAGCATGCCTCAGTCATCTGACCAACCCCACAGCAACACTATGAGGAAGGCCAAGTTGTGTCAAAATCTGCGTTTTTACCCAGAGACTCAGAAATGCTGGGGGTTGCCTAGCTGCTGAGTGGTAGAGTCAGAACTGGAGCGCAGGTCACCTCAGGGTTTCCATAGGCAGGGCGAGCCCCTCCTCTCCTTCCTGCTCATGCGCCTCTTCTGAATAAACACATTTTAGTGAGCATGGACTCGTTAATCTTCTTGAGAAAAAAGATGGAATTATAAAATTAAATAGAAAATGAGACTTATTGTAATACAGCATATCAGAATCCTACCTCCATAATAGCTTTACAAAAAAACAAACAAACAAACAAACAAACAAAAACCTGTCTTTCTACTACAAGATAACCCGTAAAATGTTCTTGATCAGTTCCTACTTCATTGCTATGCTAATCAGAAATTTTTTTTTTAATTGTGGAATTGCCACCACAGCTTAAGTTGAAAAATTACTGAAACCCAAATAATGTGGCATGTGTTGAAGATTCCTTGACTTCTCTATACTTTCAAATGAAAACACACCATGAATTCAACGTGAAATGTCATTCAATTGTGAGGTGCCTGGCAGCCCCCAAAGAGACACCCTTAATTTAATTAAGATAGCGGTGGCAGAAGACTGGCTTCTAGGACCCATGGAAACACTGGAGGACCATGATTCTTTCTTGAGATAGGAAATGTACACAGAGAATCCTTTAAGGTGATTCACAATGTGTGTTTCATCATCTTCGGTCGAGGAGTAGCATGTTCTCTTGTTCACCCTGGCCCTTGTAGGTGGATGGGAAAATCAGCATGAATGGAGACATGGCACATGGAGACGAGGAAGAAAAGGAAAAGGAAGGGCCCACGCTGGAACCTGGCCCTTCCTTAACCAAGTCCCAGCTGTTTGAAGGTGTGGCCACAGTGCACGGTTCTCCCGTGCAAGTGAAGCAAGGCAGCAACAGCGTTGAGATCAACATCAAGAAACCAAACTCTGCCCCCCAGGAACTGACAGTAAGAAGCAGCATTGCTCCTTGGGATAATTCTGTCATGTAATTGACCTCTAGAATAAGTAGGTCGTGGCAGTGTGTATTTCTTTCTCCATGGGTATCCAAGTTGGGTAGGGCTCCATAGTGAAATACTACGAACTACAAGGCCTCCAGAAGAGAAATTTTCTATCCTAGTCCACAAAAAACCAGAGCCAAGGAGTTGAGAGGTGTTAACCTGCCGTTGGCAGTGAGGGAGAGTCTGCCCTAGGCCTCTCCTCAGGCTCTTGATGCTCACTAGAAATATTGACTGCCCAAGGTGTGTCGATAACTCATCCCAACTTCCTTCTTTGCCCCAGTGCTCTTCGTGTGTGTGTTTGTGTGTGTGTGTGTGTGTGTGTGTGTGTGTGTGTGTGTGTGTGTGAGCGTGCGTGTGTGTGTGTGCCCAAGTTTCCTCTGTTTATAAGTGTATCAGTGTGGCTGGATACCTACTCCATTAACCTTAACTAAATTCAGCTGAAATAACCCTTCATAATTCAAGATCCTAAGGAAATATAATTCAACCCAAAACAATAAACTGTAATTAAAGCTAATATAATTTGAGAACAATAAATTAACACTTTATATTATTGGTCTGTTGTATTATAGGAAAACATATATCTTTAAATTAATCCCTTTTCTCTGTTTGTTAAAAACATCGTTAGACTTGTTTCTATGCTTTGAAAATAACTAGTGCCGAGCTAGGTGTGGTGGTACACACCTGTAATTCCAGCACTTAGGAAGCTGAAGGAGGAGGGTGTGGTCAGCCTGAGCCTCATAGTGAGACCCTGTCTCCCAGTAAGATGAGTGGTGCTGGCAGAACCTGGCTTCTTAGCTTTGATGCTGTATCTCTGTCTGTCTGCCTGTCTATCTCTTATCTATCATCTACCTATTCATTATCTGTCTATCATCCAGCTATCATCTAGCTAGCTGTCATTTTCTGTCTACCCACCTACATACATATATGTGTGTGTTTATTAGCTAAAAAAAACAAAAATTCATTAAAAATACAATTAATTTTTACTAGCATACACTTTAAAATTCAAACTTGTCTAAGGCAACAGCCAAGTCTTCAACAAATAAGCCAGAAAAAGTGGCTTAAGAAGAGCGGGCATGAGCACTCACAGAGGGGCAAGGCTCGTCTCTTTGGAGTATGTCATGTCCTCGGGAGCTCAGGCAGGTTTCTCTTATCCAACCACAGCTGTCACCCACACAGGTACAGCCTAGGTTTAGGGGTACAGGCTGCCCTCACTAGCAGCCAACATCCTACTGTGCTGTGGGCTTTGATAGGAAAGGATGGAGAAATTGTTGAGGCCTCCTCTCCAGCTCCTCACAAGATTTGGTCTGAAGGTTAACTTGCTTCCCACCTCCTCCCCTCACCATGAGGTGGCTCCTTGCCACACACCCACACACTGTACCGGATAATGTCGTCTTTCTATCAGCCATATGAGAGTGTCGTTCACCTTAGCCCCGCATGCTCTGTGACCGAGACTCAGATGTCACATTTTCACCAAGTGTTGTGACCCAGACAAGTGCTCGGTCTCACCTCCTGGACTTCAGTTTTACTTTGGATTTGTCACTACCACCTCTGGGCACACCTTACAAAGTGACAGGATTGGGATACTGAGTTCTGCTCCCAGGAGGGGAGATTTTAACTAGAAGATAAACATTCACATCTGCTCCTACTTTTAAAATAGAATCCCCCAAATACTTAGACACTGTAGGGCTGGGCTTGCTTTTCAGGGAAAGTGAGCCATTCTGCTCCCCACTCCATGTTCTTCAGGAGCATTTTCTAGATTTCCTTCATTCTTAGGTGATTACATACCCCTAAAAGTGATTTATTTTAAGAGAAGCAGCATCCATGATATGAAATAAATCATGTTATTTCAGGAGTCTGCATGTACTCAAAAGGGAACTCCAAAGGAAAGGCAACCGTATAGCCTTTCTTCCCCCTTAGCCAGCACGATGCTAGGCAGNGCGTCTGTCTGGAGCGGGAGAACCATGGCGACTCTTCCTCTAACCTTCTTTCTCCCAGAATTCTCTTCTGTATACTCCACCTACCTAATTTTCTATCCAATAAAATGGGCCAAGGCAGTTTCTTTATTAATAAGAAACCATTCCCACATCACTAGGCAGCCTCAGAGAACAGGTCCAAACTCGTGGGCTAGCCTGGGGTTTATTTCTCTTGTGTCTTCTTTTTCCTAGTTAAGATTAATTTCTAGTTGAGCAAACTTGAGTGCTGACAAAAGTGAGTGATATTTATGCTCTGATCTGTAGACTTCAAGTTCTTCCACTTGACAGGAGTTACTCCATTATTTTCTAAGTGGATCTGTCTGTCTGTGTCTGTGTCTGTGTCTGTCTGTCTGTCTGTCTATCTATCTATCATCTATATATCCACGATCTATCATCTATTATCTACCTTATCTATTATCTATATATTTATTCTCTATCATCTAATCTATTATCTATCATCTATCTATCATCTGTTCTCTTCATCTATTATCTATCTTATCTATTATCTATCTATCTATCTATCTATCATCTATCTCCCTCCCCATCTCTGTGCATGTGTGCACACGTGCGTGTGCATGTGTGAAAAGTTGTTATCTGTGCTATACAGTACTTTGGCTTACTACTAGAAAGTTTTTCACCTACACTGGTTACTTAAGATTCTAAAACTTGCCAGTCAGCGGTGGTGCACACCTTTAATCCCACCATTCAGGAGGCAGAGATATGTGGTCTCTGAGCATTTGAGGCCAGCCTGATCTACACAGAGTTTCAGAACAGCTAAGGTTACACAGAGAAATCGTGTCTCAAAAAACAAGAGTCTAAAACCTTTCCATTCAAGCATGTTATCCCAGGATTCATCTTAAAGGAATCCCTTTCCAAGAGTTAGTCATTCGAGTTATGCCTATATCCCAATATTTGGGAAGCTTATTTGTTGTTGGTTGTTGTTTTACTTTTTTGGCTCTTTACTCTTCTGGGGGACCCACCACCCAGCCCCCAAATAAATCATGCATGGAGTCTTATTCTTTCTTATCTATGCCCAGCCTTAGCTTGGCTTATTTCTCACCAGCTTTCCTTAACTTAATTATTCCTCTGGGCCTTTTCCTTTTCTTCCTTCTGTAGATCCTACTTTCACTCCTACTCCATGGCTGACTGTGTGGCTGAGTGGCTGCCCCCCAGGGTCCTCCTCTCCTTGTTCTCTGCTATTCTTTTCTCTGCTCCTCTTTGTTTATACTTCTCTTTATCCTCTCTGCCTGCCAGCCCCGCCTATGTTTTCTCCTGCCTCACTATTGGCCATTGAACTCTTTATTAGACCATCAGGTGTTTTCGACAGGCAAAGAATCACAGCATCAAAGAATTAAACAAATGTGCTATAAAAAAAAAAGCAGCACATCTTTACATGATTAAACAAATGTTCCAGAGCATAAACAAATATACTTTAAGATAATATTCTTTAATGTTTATTCAGGAGGATTGTTGCAAGTTTGAGGCCAGCCTAGCTTATATAGTAAGTTCCTGGTCAACTAGGGAAATGTGAAATACCACCTAAAAATAAATAGATAATTGCTTTTTAAAAATAAGAATCATGGTTTTTTTTTTCAGAAATCTTAATCTTACTTCTTTCTTTTCTTTTCTGTTATTCCAAACAAAGCAAGCTGTTATATTCGTATTGAAAACATGAAATGAATCGATCCTAGTAAAGGGTGATGGTTGTCTTGAGACAGGATGCTGTGCTTCCATGATACTCAAGGAGTGGGACTGGGTTGAACTTGACTTTTCTGTTCCTAACTCATTTTCCCAGTTCCGTGGGGTTGTCGAAAGAATGGCGTTCTTCTTTTTAAATAGTGCAAGAACTGCATTCTCAAAGGAGACACCCTCTACAGAGGAGTAGCCTCCCCCACCACTAAAATGTCACAGCTGCTTTAGGGCAAGTTGGAACTCTGCAAAGGGCACAGGGATAGCAGTAGGCCAGGGTGTGAATTCAGAATGTGAGGTGAACCACAGGGGAGGGGGGGGCCCTGCTACCCCTCTCTGCTGGGTGCTCTGAAGTGGGAGCGGCAGCCTTTCGGGCTGATGTGGGCACTTTTTATCACACCATGTCACGGCTTTCAGTTTTCGGCTGCTACTTCTTTCTCACTGGGTGCCATTGAGACAGTGGTTTTCTTCTTTTATAATTCGAGTGGAGGGGAATTTAGATCTCTTCAGACACTTGGGTTGTATCTACCTAGAGCATCGCATTCCAGACCCTCCTGGTAGGTGCAGCTGTGTGAGAATAGGAGTATAGTGTTTGCATCAATGAACTCGAGAAGGATATCAAACAGCATGTCATGAAATGCTAGGTTATAGACTGAGGACACCAGGGGGAATGTAAGACGGCAAAGGATAGGAAAGTCAGGTAGTTATTGGCGGATACACATCTGCCAAGCACTTAGCATGATGTCAAGGTGACTTGTAGACCGAGGGCGCCCTTATTTTTCATACTACCATACAGCAAATGTGAAGTAAAATAGTACTTTCCCCCCAGAAGCACGAAATTGGGAGAGATGTAAAGACCTGGAGAATTTACATAAGATCATCAAAGTTGCTGTTTTGAGCAGATGTGAATTTTATGTGCATGAGGTGAATCCCTTGTCCTCTTTCTGCTGCTCGTGTCGGTCATCCCAGTTCATTCTCTAAGACCCAGGCTGCTGGGAAGAGCTCTGTCCAGAAGACTCCAGCGCCGGTACCCTTAGTTCTTCCTCCAGCTCCTCCATTGTGGGGTTCTCACTTCTTCCACCTCGGCTCCCAAATTGCATTCTCCAGACAGAGTGACCCTTGTGTCACTCCATTCCATGGCAGCTGATGGGATCCCTCTCACACACTCCCTCAACCCAAATGACGGTGGCGGTTCTTCCTCGACGGAGCCAAACTCAGCTCCTGGGTATCTCAGACACTCCATCAAGATTTTCTCAAGCCGAGTGACGAGGTGGGCCTGTTTTCCCCATCTTGAAAACACTCGTGGGCTTCTTCTAAGAAGATCA